TTCAACCTAATTGTCGAGCTGTTCGAGCCTTGTGAATTTCATTGTCCCATAGCATACTCCATTTCGTAAACTGTGAAAATTTGACACATCCACAGAGTCTATCGTATAACCTTCTTTAGCACATACATCTGAAGTTTTTCCATATGATCGGTAGCATCTTTCATTGTCAATATGATTATATTGAAATTACAAAGGTATATCTATTCCATTTTTATGATTTGGTATTCAATCTTATGCCATATCTTTTATTTGTTTCCCATAAGATGTGGATATGTGGATATAAAGATATGTATATACTGATTACATGAACCCACATGCTATGTATACGTCTCTGTAATTCATAAAACCCAATAAAACCCAATATGGAACATATTGTATACTATCTACGGCATAAAATATTATATGAATATTAAGTAAATATACGGATAAAAAAAATAGTACTAGATTGTTGCAACTCTAATAACATTTATCCTTAACATTAATACCTCAAGTCTACATTTTTAATTAAAGCTCATATCTTCCATTATTAGTCTAAAGTAGTTATACCACATGCAACATATTTTCTGACATAGCTAAGATACCCTTTGGTTGCGCTTTAATGCGCGCATGCAACAATTGTGCCCGAAAAAGACGCAATCGGCTGCGTGCCACCCTCTGCGAAATGCCACCCTGCTAACCAACTGACAGGCAGCTACATGGGCAACCCCCAAAATACGAAATAAAAAAAACTGTTTATATACACTGCCATTTATATATATATACACACACACACATAGACAAGCTCACACACATACATACGTGTAGTGTCAAACAGGATGCATTTGTAGTTGTGAACCGAGTTTTGCGAGCTGCTGAGCTGCTGCTGTCAACGGCAACAGGATTCAGTTTGACTCTTTAGCTTTGTGCCGTTTGTCAGGACATCTCGTGGCTCGTGATTTGTTGTCTGTTCTTGTGTGTTTGTCAACAGTTGGGCTCAAGTAGTGAATACCTGAAACGCCGGCACCTTTCAATTGACATTGTATCGCCGACAGATCCTTGGCGAAAACACCTTGCATCGAGCGCATGAAACTCGGGCGCATTGTAAGTAGACAGTAGAAGCAGCAGCAGCGGGATCATTRCGGCAGTCATTATCCTGCCGCATCCTGTTGCAGCGGCGCAACGTTTTGCTCAACTCGAAAACCCCTGTCAATCATTATGAAATCATAATAAATACATATACATACATATATATTTGGTCCTGTGAAGCGTACATAATTTAATAGGGATAATAAAATATGGTTCTGTTGTTTGTCTGGCAGCGAGGGGAATCGTTCTGCCTTGCCTCCGGCCCCGCCTTGAGGTTTATTGTTAATCTCTCAGCCATTCAACCGGCTGGAACTAAGATACAAAAGAACTCGTTGCCCACAATAAGTTTCACATCATCATTATATCGTAAGCGTAATTTAATAAACTGATTTCCTCTTCAATTGCATCCATTTGGCGATTCGCATTCGATCGCAATTCTGTGTCTATTGAGCATAAAGTTTATATAGGAATTGTAAAATTGATAGATATTTTGATTTCTTATATTTGATATTTAGGATTAGAGTTCAAGAAACTGAATTCGGGTATGAGCTGAAGTTGGTTTTCGATGTATAGATACATATTATAATATAAGAAGTCTGATGTAGCATAAATATAATATTGCTATTTCAAAATAATTTCCAGTTGAGTTTTTGTAAACGAAAAGTAAGTTTACAATAAAGATTAGCTATATACATATGCTATATGTGTATAGAAATATATTCTCAAATGTTGTAAAAATATAACTGGTTTTTCTTGTAGGTTAGGCTTAGAATTTGTGAATATTATGACCGCGATAATTTAAAATATTTTTGAAATATATGTATATATTTTTAACAACGTCTTTTAAAGCTTAAATTTGTTGTCATTATTTCGCTTTTTTCGGCACCTCGTAATATCCTGTGAATGACCAACCAACCGAATTTTCGTCGACATAACCGGTTGGACGCTTTAAGCGTAGTCGTTATAACCGGATTCCTTTGTAATTATATATATAATATAGATATAGTTTTCAAGCATACGATAAGTAATACAAGTTATCATATAACTTCCACTGAAATCAGCGGTACAGAATCTAATTCTAACGAGTGAAGCAAACGCTTTACTTAAGTTAAACAGAACGTATTCCCATTTAGTCTGCTAGTAAAACCTACTGACTCAAGTAAAGAGGAACGTGTTTTAGGCTACCGATTTTTCGTGTACCTCCAAGTCAATTCAAACAAATTTACTTTATTTATGCACTTTTACTGTCGCGAGCAGTACTCGCGAAACCTTTCAGATCTATGATAGGCTCTAAGCGCTGTCTAATCATAATCAAGCTGATGCACCGTTAGAAGGAAGGAAACAAATTAACAGCGCAATCGCTTTATAAATATAAAGCTATTACATAGCTAAATCTATTTTGCCAGCTGCTGCTTTTAAATCATAATGTTAAACGTGGCGCCGGTCGCTGGGTCCAACAATGTGGACTCTATTTAATATTTTCCTAACTACCTAAAATTCCATTCTATCATAAAAAGTTTAGTATGTGTTTTTTATACTCATATAAAATATATTAATATATATAATAAAAATTAAATATCGGACGAAAAAAATTAAATATATTATATGTCTAATATTAATAGGGATGCAATAAATATTAAGAGTTCTATATAGTTATTCTTTGCACTATACTACTAATAAATATAGACTGAATTATACAGTAAATGAATTATCTAATCTAATATATACATATGTAATAAAAAATTTCTTAATTTTATCTTAACACTCTCATCAAACAGTCTAGTCTAAGTACAGTATAGTCACTGATGAATAAACTCTGTATAGGAAATTATAATAATGATGCAGTGAGAAATTCTTTTAAAATATCTCCATTTACTCTTTACCAAATTCAAGCTAAAGATAGGAAATTAGTCACGAAAAATCGTATTTCAAGTAATTTCTTGGGGAAGAATTAAAAAGAAATGTTGGCTTACCAAGTTGAGGTGGCTTAGGCGTGTTTGGCGGGCATCTTTGTTGCATTAGAGCACTGCAGGCAGCTATTATATGCTTAAAAGCCAGTTGGATGTCCTTTGATGTTGGCGTTTCGCGTGGCTGAGGATTTGGGCTTTGCTTGCTGCAGCATCATCAACTTATCTTTTGCGCGCTTTCAAGGAGGCGACGTGCATTTTCAATAGTTCGGCTGCCAGGGACTTGGCCACAAGAGACCAGTGGGTGCAGCGGGACAGAGAACGATAGATGAAAGAGAGAGCGAGAGAGATAGAGAGAGAGAGAGTGAGAAGGAAAGAGTGAGTGGGGCAGAGAAGTAGTAGTGGGCTTCAAGTGGCCAGCTAGAGCTTGGCGCATGGATATCTATCTAGCTATAGATGTGTGTATGTGTAGGTGTGGGTGTATATGTGTGTGTGTCTATTTCGCGCTCTTTCTCTGTCGGCGCGCTTTGTGGATATTGTGTGTGTGTGTGTGCCTCGTGTTGAGCGTTTTTAATTGTGCCTTTTGCTTTGTCCTTTTGGCTGTAATGGAGTGCTATGCAAATGGCGTTTTGATGAGTTTCCTTGGCTCTGGCGCTCTCTTTGTTGTCCCAGCAGACGTTCATCCCCCTTTATTACGCTTTTATCACTACGTATATACGTATTTTTGTGTGTGTATGTGTGTGTGTGCTTGATGGGAAGGGCTGCTACTGCTGCTGCTGCTGTTTTCGTTCTTTGTGATTGTTGTTGCCGCTGTTGTCGTTGCTCTGTTGTTGGCGACGACAGAGCGCTCTTATGTCGTTGTCGTTGTTGTTGTTGTTGTCGCTTTGACTGCGAAACGGAAGATGAAAAAACAAATTTGTTGATTTTCATGCGCGTCAGACAGGAGCAGAGCAACCACCACCACCAAATCCAGCTAAACGTATATATGTATATGTGTGAGTGTGTGTGCGTTCCATTTTCAAATTTCGTACATCACGGATTATTGTCCTTCCCTTTGGCATGGCCCATGTGCCCTGCTTTGCCCTGCCCTGCCCTGCCCTGCTCTGCCCTGACTGTGCTATATTGTATTGGTCGATAACGTGAACCAATCAAAAACGCTCTCAAAATGGCCGCCATTCAATTTTCTTCGATATATCAAATTATGTACAACTCAGTGGGAATTACTTCGGGGCCATCTGCTCGAGGGCAAATGCAGCAGCTTTTCCTTAACTTTTCAATAGTTTGCAGTTATGCTTCGCCTTATTGAGTTTTCCCCTTATATATACTACACAATTTCGAATGCATCATAAAAGAAATATAAGGAAGGCATTCAATTAAAAGTTTCTTGAAATTGCATTTTACTTGAACACCCAATTGACCCTATTTCTCAGCGACTGAGTACTTGCGGAGAAATATTCGCAAATAAATTGAAATTTTTACATATAATATTTGATAATCTACTTAATCTTTAAAAAAATCTTATTTAAGATAATTTAAGAAAAATATTAATATAGTAGAATCCGGGTATACCGACTCCGCTTATAGCGTCCATACGGTTATTGCGACAAAAATTCCTGTCCCCAGACAAATTTATCTGATCAAGCTTATACAGTTAGAGCGGCTTCCGGGTATAACGACGCGTCGGTCCCTTGAGCCGGACTCTACTGTATATCATGTATTCTCTTTGATATTATGTATTAATCCACTTCATATTCATACATAAACTTAAGTTCCATTTTGTTTCTCTTTCAGGCCTTGTCTAACTGCCTTCCAAATTCGCAAACGAAATACATACACCAAGAGCATCTTCCATATCCCAAATATTTTTAAAATATCTGGCGTTTGTGATTTGTTAAAACACGTTTGATTGTATTAGGACATAGAACTTAGGACTAGATAAAATATTAACACACAATACTGCAGCTAACCAGCCCAGTGTGGATCTACGACAAAACAAAGAGAAACGAAAAAGCGAGAAGCGCACGCCTATCTAAGAGTGGCATGAGCCATCAATTGGGACTCCGGAAACATGGTGATAATGAGTGTAGTGGGCCACGACCACCTGTACCCGGAGAAGAGAGCCGAGTTAAAAAGGTACGAAACTAAATAGTTATCGTAATAGTAATATAAGATTATATTATCTTATATTATTTAATCTGCATTAGATGACCGAAGGGGTAATAGATACCTCTAAGAACTCACCTCCATCTTATCTAAACTGGGCCCGCACGCTAAATCATCTGCTCGAGGATCGCGATGGGGTGGAGTTGTTCAAGAAATATGTGGAGGAGGAGGCGCCCGCCTACAATGATCATCTCAATTTCTATTTTGCCTGCGAAGGTCTGAAACAGCAAACAGATCCCGAGAAGGTGAAGCAAATAATCGGAGCCATTTATAGGTAAGTGAATTAAGAGAAAATCAAGTTAAATTTATTTAGTGAATAAATTGATAATAAGTAGTAAATATAATTATTTCTAAAATAAAGTGAGCATAATAGTGATATAAATAGTAATAATACCTTATGCTTTGTCTGTCCTTCTGAACGGTGTGCCGGACTGCAGTTGCTATTGCTGTTTGTCGACCAAAACCTCCTTTCTTTGGCGGGCGATATGCTGCCCTAACCTTAAGGTGGATAACTTCTATCTGCTCTAACCACACGCTGTCTTCAGTTTCCTGCGTGCAAGCTTCAGTTATTCCGCCGGAATACCTTTACAGCGAAATCACAGACTCCGCTCAAATATCCTTTGTCATTACCCATTTGCTCGGCAATTTTGACAGTCTTTTTAATGTACTTCCATAGTCAGAGACTATTTGAGGTAAGAAGAAAGTCAACTCAGTGTGTCTAACATTTAGCCACTGCTCTAAGTTTGGGATTGTTCCGCTATTCAACACCCGTACCTCCCTCCAGGAGGCTTAAGCCGGTTTTCGCAAGAAGCTTTACCGCAGTTTCGTATAAAAAACTTTACATTTTTGCAATGATAATAATAATTATAATGCCAATGTTAATGCTAATAATAATAAATGATTTTATGCATATTCTTTATTTTTCTCCTTTGAATGATAAAATTTAAGAATATTTGTTGGTTTCATCAATAATAATTATAATTATCTATTAATTCTTCCAGATTCTTGCGCAAAAGCCAACTATCTATATCTGATGAATTGCGCGCGCAAATCAAGGCCATCAAGTCAAATGAGATTCCGCTCAGTCCGCACATTTACGATCCCATGCAGCAGCATGTGGAGACCACCATACGGGACAACATCTATCCGAGCTTCCTCTGCTCTGAGCTGTACATTCAGTACATACAGCAAATGTCGGCGGTGCAGGAGCGCTTCAGCAGCAGCGGCGCCACAGCGACGGGCAGTGCGGGTAGCAGCGGCAGCGGCGGCAGTTGTGGCAGCAACAATGGCAGCGCTGCCGGCGCCTGTGCTCTGCCGACGGCGGCCAGCAAACAGCTGTCGGGCACAGGTGGAGCTGGCGGGAGCGGCGGCGGAGCAGGCGGCGCTTCGATGCCACCGGGCGTCTTTATCAATCTGCCCATGAGCAGCGGTACAGCGCTGCCAGCCGGCACATGCAGTGCCAGTGGCAGCGTGTATGGTCCATCAACATCAGCTAGCTCCAGTGGCTCAATCAGTGCCACCGACACGCTGCCGCGCAGCTCCACATTGCCCACGCTGCACGAGGATTCGGTGCTGTCGCTATGCGACGACTTCGAGAAGGTGCACGTCGAGGGCAGCGGTGGTCGTGCCCATATCGATTTACCTATGCGTCTCACGCGCGACCTTCTGATAGCAACTCAAAAAAGAAGACTGGAAATTAGACCTCCCGGGTATGTAACATGATATCATCATAAACACTGCATTCATTAGATTTAATAATAGATCTATGCTTGCTCGTGGAATTTCATAGAAAATTATTAAAGCCATTTAGTTTATTCTCCTCCTACTACTAGTATTACTAATATGTGTAAGTTAATAAACAAACTAAAAGCATGTATTTATATGCCCATCAATTCTTTAACTGTTAACAGCTATTAATTTGTATATTATTACAAGTAAATAGTAAATTTGTATAACACAAGTAAATTGTATGCAAATGAGACTTAATTTTAAGGGTGGTTTTTAGACTTTTAGGCCTTTCAAAATGGCTGAAATTATACGATTTGGGATGTACATATGTATAAAAAGGGAGAAAGAAAAAGCACTTTGAGAGGCTATTTATACTTCTTCATAGCATGCAATGAGTATCTTGGCCTTAGGCAAGCTGTTTGTAGTTAGAGTATACGTATATGCCTTATGGCTATGATTTTGTGTCCCTTTTTTATAGAGTACTTGCATTTTTATATATTCATACTTAACAAAAACCTAAACTTAAAATCGTAGCTGTAAAACCATATCTTTCACAGAATGTTTTCCTTTCGAAGAATTTCCTAGTTTTTACTCACTTCTGATACCTAATTATTCCCCTTGTTAAGATCCGTAGTCTTGGATTTGTAAAAGTTAAGTTCTTGAGAATCGCATGGAAAAGCTATATGTCGATAGAGTGTATAAATAAAAACTAATAATATCAAAGTCAATAAGACTAGCGATAACTTAGACTTAAGTGCAGCTTAACATCATTCAATAGTGTTCCTATGTACATCTAAATAAATAATTTTATTTTCTTAATTTCATTATATTTTTATACTATAAATAGACTTAATTTAAGCATTTTCAACTTTGTTTGTTTCTAATAAACATACCTCTATTCATTTATATTCTTTTATTAATCTGTTAATTTTTTTTAATATGCTTTCTTTTTATTTTCATATATATAAAACCAAAAACAAAAACATATTTGTACGATCACAAACCCACGAACCCACCTAAACAACAACAACAACAACACAACCATGAAATGCGACACCCATCTACACACACAACAACTACTACAACAACAAACAACACGGATTATTTATCTGCATTATTTTTTGTATAAACATTTTTTTTTTTCAATTATGGAAATTCTTGAACTGTACATAAAAACAAAAACAAATTCGCCGCATTGCATGGATCCATCAATTATGTTACTCCTTTCCCATTGCCTTATGAATGTGTTCCGCATGATAATAGAGCTCATGGTTATGTGTATACTGCGAGCACCAATACATCCTTTGTACCAAACTCTCGCGTCGATTCGGAGAGGGCAAGCGTTAGCTCCGGCGGCCGCACCGACTCCGATACCATGTCACTGTCCAGCTGTTCAATGTGAGTTTAGAGATAATAAGAGAGAGTGAGAGAGAGAGCGTCTACAGACTATGAAGAGTCACATTTATATGAATCATAATTAGACTAAAATTAATATTCAATAACGTATTATTCCATTTGCTTGCAGGGATGGCCGCCCTTATATAGAGCGCAGACATAGCTCGACGGAGAGTAAAGCCATACGGCAGAGCGCCATGGCGAATAAGGAAACGAACAGCTTTCAGGTAGTCAAATCCATAAATTATGCTCAATATGAATATATATGTATATATTCCATGTGACTCTTTTCAGGTTATACCCCGCACGCAACGATTACATTCGAACGAGCACAGACCGCTGTCGGAAAACGAATTATTGGCGCTGCTTATACCCAAGCTGGAGGAGGTGAAACGCAAACGGGATTTGGAGGAACGTGCGCGCTTAGAGGTTAATATTTATATACTGTCATTTTATTTAGAACTAAACTGGAATTGTGTTTGCAGCGCATGCCCGGCACCTCATCGAGTGCCAGTGATCGCGCTTTCGCCGAGGCGATACGCGAAAAGTTTGCGCTCGATGAAGACAACGACCAAGACATTTTGGACCAGCATGTGTCGCGTGTGTGGAAAGATCAGACGCCACATCGCTCGCCCGGCACAATGTCTCCCTGCCCGCCCATACCATCGAGAAGACGCACCGCAACACATGACTCCGGCATGGTCAGTGATGGTGCCATGAGTCTGAGTGAGTTCCAGCTAAACATCTCATCAATTGTCAAAACTCATGTAAATGGTTTCTTTGCCGCCAGGTGGACACTCAATGAAGCACTCAAAATCCATGCCCGATTCCAGTTCCTGCTCTAGGAAGCTAACAAATAAATGGCCTTCAATGAACACAGACAGCGGCATAAGCATGTTCTCTGCTGACACAGTCATGAAATACAAGGACTCAAGGTAGACTGATTGAATTATTTACCAATTGCTTATATTGAATTTCTTGTATTCGAATATTTTGCAGCTCCCGGTCTGGTTCAAGTTCGTCATCAAAATTGGAGGAAGGAAAACGAAGACTGGAAGACGAGCCGCGTCGCTCTCGTCGATATGCCCAACCGCAGCTACAATCCCATATGGTGGCCATGCAGCAGCAACAGCCATTATCCTCCTTCAGCAGTAGCAGCAGCGGCAGCAGTACAATGCATCACCATCAGCCTGCTACTATTGCAACGTGTCCACCGCCGTTGCCCATCAAGCCGCCGGAGACGGTTGTTGTGTTCTCATTCTGCGAAGAGCCAGTTCCTTACAGAATTAAAATACCCGGTACTCAGCCGACCCTGCGCCAATTCAAGGACTTTCTGCCCAGAAGGGGACACTTTAGGTATGGATGATATAGGCACATTGTAAAAATTCAATAATTTATACATTTGGCATTTGCAGATTCTTTTTTAAGACTCATTGTGAGGACCCTGATAGTCCAGTGATTCAGGAAGAGATTGTTAATGACTCCGATATACTGCCGTTGTTCGGAGACAAAGCGATGGGTCTTGTCAAACCATCCGATTAAACGTTAAGCATTAAGTGTAGATTTTGTATTTAAGATAAATTATGAAATGTGAGGGAGGTAGGGGAGAATGATGTATGGTGTGTACATGCATCTTAGAGATACAAACTCGAGAAGCTATTCCCAGAAATCAAAACTTAAATAGAACTAACTGTACATTCAATAGGCTTTTGCAAGCATCACAAACTATTGTACGTGGGGGATCTGAGGGGGAGGGAGACTGGGACTGGGATTGGGATTGGGACTGGTACTGGGGGCGCGGGCTTATGGGGTAGTTGATAGTAGGAAGGAGCAATGTGTTTCATCATTTCGTCCTTAACATCCGGAGGTATTTTTCTAAATAAACGTATGATTAATAATAATGAATTAACACCGAAATCAATTTGATGTATATGTATTTGTTATAAGTCGAGCAACGCGAATCGTACATTTACGTATATATGTATTTATTGTATTTTGTATATGTTAACACACAAACTCAACGAAGATCCTGAAAATTAAGTCAAAACACTTTGTATATCCCACGTACCGAACACACACAAACAAACGATAGAAATTATTGAGCACAGCACAAAAATGCAAAATGAAAATGAAATAATTGAAAGATGGAAAAATTAAGAAAACAATTTGATGGGTATTCCTGAATTTGGATTTGTTTGTTACTTTTTACTAACTATGGACTGCCTGCAATAAATTTTGTTAATATTTTTATAATGTGCATTTTATGATATGATGATATTAACAAAGTTCTATTCAACTTGACGAAAAATCAAAATATAATCTGTTTTATTTTTGTATAATCTATTGTACTGCATATTATAATGTATGTAAATTTGAATTTATGTATTTATATATATACACTCAACATACACACACACACACACACACACACACACACACTTACATGCATATATCTGTATGCATATATTGTGCTTTCGTCTATATTATATATTTATATAAAAATATATATATATTTACCATTGGACACAAATTTCTTTTGATAAACGATGAGTGCTAATTGCTCCAATAGTTGCATAATTGCTTAAAATATTAATTGATTAGTTATACTTGTATAAGTTATCAAAGAAAACAAAACAAAAAATAATAAAATAAACAACACAATAAATATTTTTTTAAGAAGCCGAGCATAATATCGCAGAAATATGAAATTAATGCATACATTTATAATAGTAAACAAAAACCATATTTTATTTGTGAGCAAAAAACTGCATGTAGATCTAATAAAAACGACAAACAAACGAATCAAGTACATGAAATCGATTTTATTTTTTTATTTAGCTGTCCCAACATATAATTAATAGAGGTGTATGTATAAATCGTAAACAAAATCATGTGAAACGCTAGACTGGCGTACAATCGTCCCGCTGGCAATGACTTAAATAGTTCTGTTCATTGATGAATGTGTGCGTGCACTTGGGGCAGTGGAAGCGCCTGTGCCGATTGCTGCCCGGATTCTCGTGCTCTCGCAGATGCGCCTTCATATTGTACATTTGGGAGAAGCGCTTATTGCAGACAGGGCAGGCGAACGGCTTGGCGCCCGTGTGGGAGCGTGTGTGACGCTCCAGATGGGCTTTGGTGCGCGTCTTGAAGCCGCAGACTTGACACTCCAGTCGCTTCGATTCGCTGTCGTGGATCATTTTGTGCTTGTACAGCGCCACCTTGTGTACGAATCGTTTCGAGCACACCTCGCACTGATACGGCGTTTCGCCCGTGTGCCATGCCATATGATGTTTCAGTCGGAATTTGCGACTAAAACGCTCGCCACAATGAGGGCACTCGAACTGTTTGACTGGTTCATGGTTCTGCAGGTGGCCAATGAAGCCCGAATAGGATTGCAACGTCTTGCCGCACTGATCGCACACATAGCCAGGAAAGTGTTCACGTTTCGTGTGTGCATTGTATGCCCGACGACTGCTGAACTGTTCGGGGCAGCTGGGGCATTGTATGTTCACTGTGTAGTCACCTGAACTGTCCTGATCCTCAGCATCTGAGATTAGGTATTCGATAGTGCCATCCATCTGATCTTCGAACTCACTTAGCACATCCTTGTCCTCTCTAAATATTTCTATTTCATCCGCTGTTTGCTTCGTCTCATCATCGTCCAAATCCGCTTCGGGGACCTCTTCATTTATAATTATCTCATTTTCAATATCTAACTCCAGGTCGATCGCTTGGAATTCCTCTTCCTCGCAATCAGAGTTCTTTACAATGAAATTGTGCTCATTTTTGACATCTACATCGTCCTCCTCCAGCCTTTCCTCTGTCACCGATGTTGGATCCACGATTGTCGGCTTGACAGCTGGCATTGCATCTGTCCCATCGTCTAAATCACATGCATCCACTGTCTCGACCATTTCGACGCTGATGTTGCCATCGAATTTGTCAGGGTCATCGCTTTTGTGTTCACTTCGTGAGATAGCCGATTTGAAATCCTTAATTATAAATGGACTACGTATCAGTTCGAGGATCTCCTGGCGCAGCTTCCGTGCGATTTGTAAGGATTTGTGATAGCGCGTCAATTTCTCGCAGCATTTCTTGCATATTGTCGAGCCCACCTCGGCGAGCACATAGTTTGTGCCCTTCGTGCATTGCACGACCAAGTCGCTGATTAATATGGGCGGCTTTCCAATCGTCTCCTCGTATATGTTTTTTGGGTTGCGCACAGAAAACTGGCAAATGCAACAGTTCATTTTCCGTATTTTTTTAATTGAAGATTGAATATTTTTATAACAAATATCAAAGCATTAAATTCTGCTAGCCGAAAAACATAATTGTACAATACTGTTCAGCAGTGCTGGAAACGGACGAAATAAATGAGTTTTGCCGCGTTTCCACTGCTTCAATAAATGTGCTAAAGTGAAATTTTTAGATCGTTTCCACTGATATGTCAAACTAAATTTATATCCTGTCACAACTAAATAAAAAAAATAAACAAAAAACGGGAGTCCATGTAATTAATTTTACATTTTATTTTATTTATTTTTTTATGTTATTCATACAGTGCATCTGTTATTCCTTATTTCACCCCTTCATATTTAAAAAAATGTATAGCTACCCTATTTCCCAACAGTAATTTTAAAATTCTTGTATTCAGGAGTGCCCAATAATATTTCCTTTGTCAAATGATGATCTGCTCTCCCGAAGGTCTGCAAATTAATGATAATTAGTTATACATATGTATGTATATATAAGAATGTCCAATAGTTTACCTTGCATTTTCCGTTGATCGTCATTTCTTGAGATTTGGCATTTATGTTCATCATACCACCACCTAAGGCTTTAGAGCATAAACCAAGCTCATCCAGTTCTTCTCTGATTTCGTCATAAAGGTATACTAACAATTGAATAGGAATTAAATTTTGAAATAAATATTTTCAGATTATCAACATACGATGTTTTTTTGCACGACCACCTCGTACAATTGTCCGGGAAAACAACGTTTCGCCATGCATATAAATGGAGATTAACAGATACAGAAGTTTCCCCTCTCCCAATTTTACTTTAGGATAATTTATGAGATTCTGTGTTGTCCTCTTAGTAGTTGCATAATTTCGCACTAAACATAAATTTGAGTTGAAACTTCTTGAAAGCTATATATGTTTATAATATAACTTACAACAATATCGAGTCAGAGTATTACGAAGCGGGAATATAACCTGTGGATACTTCATTTTTTTGTGTTTTTTTTTGCTTTCCAAATAATAATTTACAATACAATTTTTAATAATTTCAAACCTGCATCCAAATTGTCGTAAGTCTTTAGTTTGACTGATATTTTGTTTTTAAGGATTACCAAGCAAAGTCAACATTTACCCATGTTACTTTGTTTGAAATATGTATATTTACATATTTTAAATTTCGTTTCATATAACTATAAACCAGAAGTTGGCAAGTTGCAAAGTTATTTTCAGATCTGCTATGACATAACCGTTTAAATATGTCGTAACCATATATGTACATATGATACGTAATAATTATATGTTGCATTTTATGAAATACAATATATAAAGGTTCTTTGTATATCTACATTTTTTTTCTGAATTAAACTTAATAAACAAGCCATATATATGCATTCTTAAACACTCCAATGTAGTTTAGTTTATGCTCAAAAGTAATACAATTTTAATATATAATTTAAATTCATGTTCGCAAATAGAAAAGAAACTAAAATATAATTAATATCCTTCATCGGTTGTCTCGATCTCGTAGTCTTTATATTTTGTTTGTAAAATCCTTTTCGATTCAACATGATCAGCCTTACCAAAGCCCTGCCATGGGAAACAAAATCATTTATTTATATTTGTAATAATCAAATTATAATATGAATTTACTTGTGAGAATCCATAGACTTTCATATACTTCTTTTCTGGGTCGTGTTCAATGCGTCCACCACCCAGGCATTGTGAGTCCAAGCCGTTCTTCTTGCAAATCTCCATCATGCGTTCATAGATATCAGCTTAAAACACAAAACGAATTGGCCAAGATTATTATTATCCAAGAAAAAGTCAGCAAACGCAACACTTACAATGAAATTTACAATCAGAATATCCACGAACAACTAATTTTTCCGATGTTTCGGCGCAGTCCTCATTGCCATAAATTTTAATTAGAACATATTTAAAAATTCCTTTTTTGTCTACATCGACCAAAGGTATTGAATCAAAAGCTCTGCTAGCCATTTTCAGTGATCGTATTCCTTTATAGAAATGATAAAAGTTCGTACTTGTATAGGCAATTCACTATTTCCATTTTATTTATATATCTTACCGCTAGGACGTGCAACAGCTGATTTTAGCAAATTTTTAAAGACACATTGCATTTTCTCTAGTAATGACAGATATTGAGATGCTGATACGTTTAAATATCGTATAGTAGTAACTGTGATTTTCTAACAGTGACAAGTAACAGCATTACATATGTATACTCGCTTAGATTTTGTAGTAACTGTACCCAAAGTATTAACGCATTGTCTGTTCATATTCATATTTTTGTGCGCTTTTTAATTAATCGTGATTTTAGCCTGGTATTTTTATCCCAACTTGCGAAAGTTTTCCTGCTATAACTATGTTGCTGCTATGTTACCGATCCTTACTGCAAAGTATCGATAACTTTTTCGTCATATTGTTTTCACGCGTTGCAGCTACTGAAAATATTAATGTAATTGCTTATCGCTGTTAAAAATAAAACAGCTGACAGCAATCTTCTGTGTACAGAATTCGAGAATCAAACTAAAAATATTTTGCTACTGAAAAGCAAATATATACAGATTCCAAGTATAGAACTACCTGACAATTAAGTTCAATAAATTACACATAAAATGAGCACAGCACGGCCGTTTTGTTTCGTTTGTGGCAAGGTGAAGTCTGTTGGCGTCTTTCAGCTCATTGAAGGCAAGTTTAAGAAAACACAATTGAAGAGTTTCAATATTAACGCTAACCATTTTAGGATGCATCGTCCCGGGCACATTTAAGCCCATTAAAGACATACTGAAATACTTTGAAAAGGTAATTAATCAACGCTTGGATCTGACTCCCACGTCGGCTGCTTGCAATGATTGCCTCGAATATCTCTTCAATTACGACCGGCTCGTTCGGAACCTGAGCCAAGTGCAGCGACAAATTGCGAACTCTTTGCTCAGTTGTCGTAAAAAGAAACCGATATGCTTACAGCCCAAGAAGGATACAGTTAAACCTAAAATACCGGAAATGCGATCAAGAATCGTGGAAAATGAGTCGCCACAGAAGAGCTACAAGCGGGAAGCAGATGAATTTCTGGATTTGGAAGAGTCAAATCGAGAGTCCCCATTTACCGAGAGCGAGGAGAGCATGGACGATTCAGATGGGGATGATAACCTAGATATTCCATGTCACATATGCGGCGAACTTTTCTCGAATCAGGACTGTCTCGAAAAGCACATCAAAACGGACAATTGTCAAAAGAACGAATTGGCCACCTGCAATATATGTGGCATTAAAGTGAAAAACGACGAAGTTCTCGATCTGCACATGAATCTTCATGAGGGCAAAACGGAACTGGAATGCCGGTACTGCTCGAAAAAGTTCTCACATAAACGGAACGTCCTGCGTCACATGGAGGTACATTGGGACAAGAAGAAATATCAGTGCGAAAAGTGTGGCGAACGCTTCTCACTGTCCTGGCTAATGTACAATCATCTAATGCGGCACGATGCCGAGGAACATGCCCTGATCTGTGATGTTTGTCATCAGCAATTCAAAACGAAACGCACCTACAAACATCACCTGCGTACTCATCAAACTGATCGTCCGCGCTACCAGTGCACAGACTGCGAAAAGTCCTTCGTCGATAAATACACTTTAAAGGTGCACAAACGCGTCCATATGCCAGCTGAGTCAACAATGTCGGCCACATAAAGTCAGGCAATCAATCTTTAAAATCACAATCGTTTTTTATTTCCATTACAATTCATGAATACAAAGACAACTTAAATGTATTAATTAATATATTTACACTTAGGTTTTAAAGACTGTTTAAGTAACTGATTTGAGTGGCCATTGAGATCGAGCTTTGGTTTTACCTATGCTATTTCATATACGAAAGGAACACATTTCTGTTGAAATGGCATAAAAAATGAATTGTTTAAGAAGAAAAAGTACACTAAGTTCGATATTATTATTGCAAGAACTGCATCAAGTAAAAATATTTTAAATATATGTTTCGATATATATTTATAATGAAAATAAATTAAGAATAAAAATGTATAATCGAGTATTAACCAATTGTGCAATTTTAGAAATATTTGTGTCCAAAAATATGTCTTTTGACATATGTCTTATGCTGTACTTCCTTATCCGCATGACTTGTAAGCAGTTCATGCAAATTTTGTTGACTCGAAATTTCGAGTTGATCCTAAAGGAGCAGAATGGATATAAAATGGCCATGAATGGATTTACAAGCTCATAATCCGCTCTTGAAGCAGGTAGCAATAGGTAAACTCCAAAATGTAACTGCCATAAAATGACAGATGTTTTTAACCATCTGCGGATCGTACAATAGCTTACCTGCCCATACCGAACCAATATTGATTAAATATTCTATATATAGCTTAAGCACTTGCTACATTTGACTTCAGTTGAGTTTCGAGCGTTCAGCGAGAATGGATAAATTATTTTTGCAATTGAATGTGTGCACAGAGTTGATTGACAAGTTTACAAACATTGAGTCGTTGAATAGATTTTGTGCCACATTTCACAAGTTTGCAAGTAAATTAAAGAACTTCTTGCCCAAAACTGATGTGGATGGATATAGTAAAATACACATCGAGACGATTTATCTATGTTTCACGCAAATCATCACCTGTATTACGCAATTGGAACGCACCATCAATATTGAGGAATCAGGTGGTTCTCCCCTGTTGGCAACTCGAACACATTTTCGGGATCGCATCGAGTGGTGTCTGCGTCGGCTGCAGGCTTCGATATATCAGCTGAATGAGGAGGCAATAGCCAGCACTCCAGTCAAACTGGAGGATCTGTCGTTTGTGGAGCTGTTGGATTTGGCGCTGGATAAATTGGAGAGCTATAGCGACATAGTGGAGGAGGAGCAGGATGACCCTTTCGATGCTAGAGAGCAGCTTCAGCTAATGGATCAAGTTAATCACATTGTCCGGCATGCTTTGGCCTTTGCCAATGTCGCACTCGAGTCGGATAAGAAGGCCCTGACTGCCATCTGTGAAACGGTTCTAGATGAATGTGTCACTTTTGAAAAGAACTTTGAGAACTATAATCGAAATGAGCGTAAATTGGAAGCTTTGTCTCTGCAAAGAGCCCTGTATTCAGTGGAAACATATCTGAATGAAGCTCTATTGCGCCTGATCTTCAACAGCCTCGGGGAGACATCTTATATAAGTGAATTGAAAAACGCTTTGCAACAGGGCGAATCTTCGGCTGATGTGAAGAAATTGATTTGTGATTTCGACATCAATGTGGATCGCATACAACAGATCGGCGTCTTTGCCATAGCCTTTACTCCAGATGTGAAAACGAAGACAATCATCCGAAGTTGTTTGGCCTCTTTGGAGTCCTTGGATGCGTGTATTGTACCCGCATTTCAATTCCAAGCTACGACTTCGGCTTTATACCATGCAGACATTCTGGAAAATCATTTCAAGGAAGAGCTACTGATGTTTCGCAATGTTGTTCACGAAATAATTGACAGTCGAGCCTTGATCAGCAACTATTTGGATATCTTAGACGAGAGCATTGACAATGCAGCGACACTCTATCCCAAGGGCCATTTACTGAAAGTAAGCCAAATGGGAAACGTTTTATTCGAACACTTTCAGCTTAAGGTGAACTATCAAGAGCTAACTGAGGATGTAGAAGGCAAACGATTGCATCAAGATTTTATTGCGATTTTACGTGAATGCCAGGCAGTACTTGAAATATCCATTCAAGTAGATCTGAAACGTATTATAAAGCGTTTGAAGATTTTGTATTCGGTTTTAGCAAAACTACGCGATGTCTGCGATAGACTAGTCTACCAGAGATCTGTCTGCAAAAATGAAAAGTCCATGACGACATCAACGCAATTACGAAATGCCTCTCAATCATTTGGTAATCGGAAAAGAGAAAATACTATTGTAAATAGGTCCTCAACATCATTAAATCAGGAGAGTGATCTTTTAAGTTTTCACCTGACTGAAATTCTGCGTATAACTTAAGCTATAGCTTATAGCCACGATAAATGTAATTAATTAATTTAAGGCATAATTAAAATAAAATACATCTAATGCAAATTCATCGTATTTTACTTGACGTGGATGTGAGAGCTATACAAATACGGCCAATAAAAATGATGTTTACATAATGTATATAATAAATTTTCGTGTTACATTAATTTTAAACATTAATGAACAAATACGAAAAATGTAATTACATTTCCGTTATTTAAATGCAAAATTAAAATTTTAATACTATTTGACACAGCTTGGCAGCCCTGCACAATGTTGTATGGTCAGTGCTAATGACTATCGTTATGACAGCTAACAAATATCGGCACGTCATCGATTATTTTGCAACGCTGTAGACAAGCACAATTAGGTATCTAGAAAAGGTTGATTAATAAAGTTAAGAAATCTCTAAAAGTGTTCGCACCCGCTATCAAATTATCATATCGGTCCATCCCTAAAATACTTACATCCCTAAATCCAAACGGCGATTTTTGTAAACATTTACGAAACTCCAGAAGACGAAGGAAGGCCGATATTCGAAAATCATGAATACATGCTTCTTTTGCGGTGCCGTTGACATACACGGCACTGCAAATTATGAATTGCTCTCAGCCAAAGTGCCTTCGTCACACAAATCGGTGTCATTAGTTCTTACCCACCTCGCCAACTGTATGAAAACCGAAATCAAACTGAGCGCAGATACAAAACTTTGCCCGCGATGTTTTAACGAATTGGCCGAATATGATACCATTATGGTTAATTTAATGGTTACGCAAAAGAAGCTGACGACGCAATTGAAAGCGGCATTGAAATCCGAATACGAAGACGAGGGTCTGGTCGAGGAATTAGACAAAACTGCACAAGATGATGCCGAAGCGGAAGCGTTATTTGAGGAGCTCGTGAAAGATGAGGAAGATATAAATATGGAAATTAAGGAGGAATACGATGATGATGATGATGATGACGAGGATTTCCTTTGTGAGGGCAAGTCCGATGGTGTCTCCGTTAAAATAGAGGATGAGGATGATCAAGGCAAATTTATGCCAAAGCGTGTCAAACAGGAATGCAACACTTGCGGTAAAATATTCAATGCACGCTATCAACTCCAGAAGCATATCAGCGAAGAGCACAACAAAACGCAGGCTCATGTCTGTCCCATCTGCGGAATTATACGCCGCGACGAAGAATATCTGGAATTGCACATGAATGTGCATGAGGGCAAAACAGAGAAGCAATGTCGATACTGCCCCAAGAGCTTCTCACGGCCAGTGAATACGCTGCGGCACATGCGCATGCACTGGGACAAGAAGAAATATCAATGTGAAAAGTGTGGATTACGCTTCTCTCAGGACAATCTGCTCTACAATCATCGCCTGCGTCATGAAGCTGAGGAGAATCCAATCATATGCAGCATATGTAACGTCTCATTCAAATCGCGTAAAACTTTCAATCATCATACTCTCATCCATAAGGAGAATAGACCACGGCATTATTGTTCCGTTTGTCCGAAATCTTTCACGGAACGTTATACACTTAAGATGCATATGAAGACCCACGAAGGCGATGTGGTCTATGGGGTGCGGGAGGAGGTGCCCGTGGATGATCAGGTGGTCGAGGAGCTACAAGTAGACGTTGACGAGTCCGAGCAAGCCGTCACAGTGATTATGTCAGATAACGATGACAATTCCGCCGGATTCTGTCTCATATGCAGCACGAATTATGAGAACAAGAAGGAACTGGAGCATCATTTACAAATTGATCATGATGTCGTATTAAAATAAATAGCATTTAAGCATCCCCTAATCTAACATATTAACCTTTATATGTTTAAGCAATTGAATCATAATAATTCTAGAATCCTAGAGTATTTAGGCTGGAATAAATTCTTGACATGACTTATTTTTCTAAATGAAACGCTTCTATGTACGAAATATTTTAAATAAACAATAGTTCGATTAAAACCAACAATTTGAAGGCGGGAAGTGGAAATCGAGTCACTAATCGATTGTAACTATTTCATTAGTTTCAAAATCGTATGGCGATTAGCTATTGGTTTTGACTACCGGGGTTCTTTTTAGGCGTTTATACAGATATGTAGATATGGCATATATAAAATATAGTGCAATAAAATCTAACCATTTTTAAATTGTTAGGCGGAAAGAGATAATCGAGTAGCTTATCGAATAGCCTTTGCTAGGCAATTAAAAATCTATTTTGACCCAATCAGACACACAAATAAACAATTATTAGAAATATTCACTTGTAACGTTTCAAATAGTTGTATTCCGACTATGTTTATAAAAAACTCGCATAAGTGAACTCCAATCTTAAGCTTATTCGTTCTCCTGGGAGCGCAGGCGACCGTTGGGGTTTGTTAGACGCACCGACAATTGCTTGGCGCGCTCAACGATTTCCTTGCGTTTCTTTGAGGAGACACCATGGGCGATCTCACCGCAGTAGACGCGATTCTGCATCAGCAGCACCTCCAATTCGCGCACATTGTGTACGAGGAATTTCTTGAAGCCAGTGGGCAGCATGTGGCGGGTGCGCTTGTTGGAACCGTAACCAATGTTGGGCATCAGATATTGGCCCTTGAAGCGACGACGTACTCTGTTGTCGATACCCTTGGGCTTGCGCCATTTGTGCTGCAATGCATATGAGTAAATTTTAGTATTGGAAATTCTTTGCTTATATTTCATATTGAACTTACCGACAACTTGGCATATCGATCCGACTGGTGACGGATGAAGTGCTTGGTGCGCTTCTTAACGATCTTGGGCCGGTATGCTGGGCGAATGGTCATTTTGGAGCTGTAATTGAAAAACAAATCCTTATTAGCATTTCGTTCTTTTGAATGTCAACAAACTTTGCCTTGAGTGAACACTAGAATCACTTTATTCGATTGCAATTTTAGCATCTTGCACATTTGCAACTATTCAGTAAATGATTTGTTTCAAAATAAATCAACACTATATGGTGATGTTTAAGAAATTTATAGATTTTAGGAATTATACGAACCGCTTATATGCTAAGAGCACGTCAAAAAGAGAGAAAAAAGACGTGAAGTTGGCCGCGCTTGACAGTTGTCAGAGCTGACAGTGCCAATAGAGCTGCCAACTGATGTTTCCGTTTGAAATTCAGAACTTGTCATACAGGCTTGACCGGCTCTCTGATATATGATATGATATGATATTCATAAATTGAAATATTTATTTAACCGATTTGTTAAAAATTATTCAAAATTCATTTATGAAATGTAAGACGTAGGCGTATGATTGTATGTTAAACACATGTAGCTTGGGTAAAAAATTAATTTTGACTCTTCTAATATATTTTTCAATCTTGTGTTTATTTATTTTATTTTGTTTAATCCGTTCAGTTTTTGAATATTTTACTGAAATTAAGAATGTTTGTCAAATTTGTGTATGATAAAGAATCGTATAGTTTCATGTACTCTTGAGCATAAAGCACATGCATATTTATCGAGCTATCGATAATAATATAAGTACAAAAACAGTGTTGTCGTACTACCTGCGATCTCTGAAGTGTCTGTGAACTATTTATAAATATACGAGAATAGGAGTCCAATAATAAATCTTTCGTAATTAAGAATCGCATCATAAACTGTTAGAACGGCTTATCAGTACGGTATGCCGATAATGATGTTACCGAAATAGTAATGTGCAAATTTCGATCACACTGCGCGTTCGTTGTAATATAACTTTTAATTCATTATATAATTAAACGAACTAAATGTGAATGAAAAGACCAAAACAAAAAGAACAAACTGAACAGGAAGTGTGTGCAATTGAGGGCTACTACCATATACAATGGTAACAAGGTAGCATATGCGTACACGACGCATGCAACAGAAACGGCAACAACGGCAGCAACATGAAAGTCGATGGCGTTCTGGATAAGGATGACAGCGTGATAGCTAAGTCGGAGCCGGCGATAATAGCGACAGCATCAGCAACAGCAGCAGCTGCAGCAACAACAGCAACAGCATTAACCCCAGTGACAGCAACACTTGCTGTTCGTGCTAGCCATGAGAACATCTTTCTGGAGCGATTCTTTGGTGCCTTTCAATGGGAGGAGTTTGCATGCGGCTGTGGCTCGGCGTTTGTCAACATCTGCGTCACATATCCGATATACAAGCTCATATTCCGACAAATGCTGCATGGAGTGCCAGTCAGCTCGGCGATGTTGCAGCTACGCCATGAGGGTCTCGGATTTCTATACCGCGGCATGCTGCCGCCTTTGGCACAAAAGACCATATCGCTGTCCATAATGTTTGGCGTATTCGATGGCACGCGGCGATATCTGGTAGAGGATTATCGCTTAAATGATTACGGTGCCAAGGTGATTGCCGGCGTTGTCGCAGGCAGCGCTGAATCAATTTTATTGCCATTCGAACGCGTGCAGACGCTGTTGGCCGACTCGAAGTTCCATCGTTACTTCTCCAATACGCCGAACGCGTTTAGGTAAGCTAAAGTCTTTCTTCTCTTCGATTCCTAGATAAATTATATATGTATATATTTTGTAGATATGTTGTCACGAATTACGGTTTTCGGGAACTATACAGAGGCATTGAACCAGTATTTTGGCGCAACGGCTTGTCGAATGCGTTGTTTTTCATGCTGCGTGAAGAGGCTAGCGTTCGTTTGCCGAAAAGGGCAAGTATCTAGAAAAGCTGCAAAATTGAAAAGAAATGAGCAGACTTGACTTGTTATCTAAATAATTGCTTTGGAATTTCATGTAAAAATAGTTTAAAGTTCAAGATAACCTTGGATTGAGTAGAATTTACATTCAATTTTGCAGCTTTGCTTTACCTCCAACCTTCGGCGTTAAACAATTAATTTGATTTTATTTTATTTTATTTTATTTTTTTTTTACTTACAGAAATCGGTGTCGACCAGAACTGCACAAGAATTTATAGCTGGCGCCGTGATCGGTGCCAGCATTAGCACATTATTTTATCCTCTCAATGTGATTAAGGTGTCGCTGCAGAGCGAAATGGGACAATTAACTGAGGGCAGTTGGCATGCCTGCAAGAGGATCTATCGGGAGCGTGATAGTCGAATTGCTAACTTTTATCGGGGCTGTGCTTTCAATACGGGTCGCTCCTTTATCAGCTGGGGCATTATGAATGCCGCATACGAGAACCTCAAGAAGTTGATGAGTCAGCGCGAGCTGAAGCCACAATTGACGGCCATGCAACAACGTTAAGCTATGTCTTACGTAAACTACAACTGAAACTAAAACTAAAATCTAGTTGAATAAGCTTAATGTATACACAAATGTTTCCTTCAGCCTTTAACTAGCAAATTTTTCGTTTTAAGTCGTGTGCTAAGTGGTTGTTTCTTTAGCATTGCGAGTGCCAAAGTTTTTTTTGGTCACTCAATATATGTAGCCAACCCGTAGATCTATAAATGTTTGACGTTTCATGCATCATATCCACATATAAATGTATTTCATTTTCGCTTTGGTAATTTCATAGAGACTGTAAAAGCTGAATTTGTTAATTTAACTTTGAAATACCAACGAAAGTGCAATGGCAGTGGCCAACAAATTTGTCAACAATTTGTCTGGCTAGGCGCGAGTACAATAAATGTGAGCATTTAATAAGCCCAAAATAAATAAATATTTAACTAGTTAAATTAAATAACTTGTATATACAGAAAATATTACGATGTAACCTAATTATGTTGTTATTGTATATACGACTTGCGTGATGTTTATGAAATTAATAAACTTATTCAATGTACTTGGAAACGTGTGTTGTTTTTCTGCATATATTTAAGGTTGGAAATGAAAATAAGAATTTAATTTGTTAATAATTATTTATATTCTTCCTCTTTTTTAAAGCAAAGTTGAATTTTACACTGAGTTTAAATTTAAACCTTACATGTTGGGGTAAGAACATGTCTCTATAGCCATATCTAAGATTTCCCACCGAATAAGTAAAACACAACAAATTCATTTATATTTCTCTACTATATTTCAGCATTTTCATAGAATTATCAGCACATTTTAAATATAATAAAAATAGTTAGGTTCTACAACTAATACACAAATAAATATTTATATATTAATTATTAGCAAATAAATTATTTACATTAAAAAATTACCACACATATCACAAAAACTATTAAATCGAACTCTTAATTATAAGGAAACCTAACGTTTCTTAAGCGAGCTGCGATATCTCTGATAGAAATCCTCCATGGCTCTATATTCGGGCTCTAGGATATCGGGAATTTCCTTATCCAATGAGGCAAAGTAGATCATTTCAACTGAACAGCTGCCACGTAATTCCTGTTCGTATTGTCGCAGCTGCTGAAAGAATCCGGAATTGGGCCTCACTTGCGGCCGTATGGATTGAACGTGTGTGTAGGCCTCCCGGAGACTCATGCCCCCATACTTTATTAGGTAGGCCAAGCACAGCGAGGCGGAACGACTCACACCGGCCACGCAGTGCACCAGGGTATTGCCGCCACTGAGACGCACTTCCTCAATCAGATCGGCCACTTCATCAAAATGGGCTGCCAAATTCACGCCGGCTCGATCCTGTGCATTGATCCGCAGATACAATGGATTGCTTAAGCTGGAGAGTGGCGTATCTGGCAGTTCGGGCGCCACATTCACTACACAACTAATGCCCAGCTTGTCCAGGTGGGCGGGCACCACAGCCGCTGCGCCGCACAGGTAGAGCGAAGGTGTTAGCCTGGAAATGCCTGGATACGGAGTGTGTTCCTCCAACTTTGTTTGACTGCAATAAAAATGAATAAATGAAAACTTTAAATTACATTTACAAATATTTGTATGTTTCAATTTGGAAAATAATATATATTTTTTGAAGTTATAAAGTTCAAAATTTAGCTTTTTTAATATTGATTCTTTTATATTATTTAATTTGATATGAAATTGTATCTATACAAATTTTTTTAGATACAAAATGATTTATTTTATAAAATTTCTTCATATTTCTAGCTTTAAATAATGATAGAAAATTGTAATCTAATTAATAATATTCGGTAGATAGAAAAGAGATTTTCTTACCCAAGTATTCCCAAACAGTTTTCTATTTTGCTAAACACTTTTTTCACATTCTGATTTATTTCGATACAAACTAGAGTCCATCTTTAGTTCAGTGTGAATACCCTCAATAGCAGTATCAAATGCCATACCAACCCCTACGCCCATCTGCATTTGTATGTGTTATGCATCCCACCTGACCACAAAATAGATTTATTTTTAGCAAATCCTACATAAAATCTTTAATAACAATTAGTCACTATATATGCTACATATACCTTTATTTTTGCCCATATTTTAGGTTTTTCAGCTAATAGTTAAGTATTAAAAGCCTAAATATCAAGCAAGCTGTCAAAACCAAAAATATATTTCATCTTTTAGTCGTTCAAAATAATTAAAAACAAGAAACAACAAAATTCTGCAAAGTTAAGACGTAAATAAAAAAGCGTATTGAAAAAATAAATACATATTTTTGAGTTGTTTAAACAAAAAGAAAACAAATAGAATCTTAAATCAGTTCCTTCCCCTCCGATAAGCTTTTATGAATGGGCATTAGCGTCTCTGTTAGCATTTTTGTTTTTGTTAAGCGTATTTATCTGGTTGATCTATTATATCTATATCTATGTACGTCATTGTTTACTCAGCACCTACGTGGAATACTACAAAATAATAAACATATGAAGACATTAAACATATGTCTCTCAACCTACCATATATTTTTTCCTGTATATATTGAAAAGAATTTTGTTTATAATTAGTTTGCCGAATGCGTATTTATTTTGTTGCTTTGATAATGAGCAATATAAAAATAGAATTGATTTATAATGTGTTCAATAGGTAAAAGAGAGCGGGAGAGGGATAGAAAGAGAGACAAACCCATTTAGGCATTATTGAAGTTCTACTAAGACTTTGCGGTTCTAGTCTCAAAATTTCCATAATCAATCAAGATATTTCTAAATTTTAATTCAAATTAGATTTATGATTTAAAAATGAGAAAAATCAACCATTTTTATAATAGTTACATATTGGTGACACCCTCTTTTGATTTGCATAAATATTATGTATATATAAATAAATGATCATCAAGCACTTGGCATCAACTTGGGCAATTCTCTGTTACCTTAAGTGATGACAAATTTGACTTGACAGATTCATTTGAAACCAGAGGGGAAAAAAAATACAAGCGAAAATCAAGCATAGCGGAATGTTAATGTAAAATACAAACAGCAGCAACAACAAACGAATTTATTTATAGGTGCATTGGATATATTTTTGCCTGGCGACATTTCGTCGTCATTAAATAATAATCACAAATTCCTCTGGAACTTTGCCAAAATTAATCATCGGACACTTTCACTTTGACCGCACCAAATTATACATATATACTTATATATCTATGTATATATAGATCTACAAAAATATTTTCAAATTTTGTTTACACCCTAGACTCAATGAAAATGTGTAAACTGGGTATATACGGAGCGTATAAGAAGGCGTGTTTTATGTTATTCTAAATGTCTGATTGGGTTCAGTGGGCGAACTGATCTACAGCTCTCCCTGGGTTCTGACTATCTCTGTGGTTGTACGTTCTATGAGTTCGATTACCTCAGAGTGTATAAGATCTTCAGGCCCTAGGTAAATTTGAGATGTTATATATAATGTTTTAGCTCATCGGTCTGTTTAGAAATCTCCTTAAATTTGAATGTCCAGCTCTTAAGGAGATAAAACTTTTCATGAGCTCAAACAATTTCTATAAATGTCCATAAGCTCGAAATTGCAGCTCTTAGGATTCCATATAATGGATATGGAATCTCCTTGGATACCTTTCAAAGTTAATTTTACTCTGTTTAGCTTATATATGTACATATATTATGACTGGGTATCTACTAGTTCAGCTGACTCAAGTGCTCTTATGATTCGTTCTTTGCCGTGTGAAAAAGTACCAAAAAATATTTGCTTTCGAGCCCAAAAAAACAAATGCAGCGCGAACAAATAACAATTTGTGATTTTATCTATAATTAAAAGAAAAATTTATGTTTATGGCGAGCTAAAAAATTGAACAATATTATTCCTGCTCAAAGTTGTTGACACTCTAATATATATATAGAATCATGTGATGACAAAGGGAAATGGGTTAATGTTATAATCTAGATTCTAGAACAAGTGCAGCCTTGTAGCCAGGCCACTTCCTACAAAATCTCTATAAAATATGTAGAGCACAAAGGAATTTGGCATTTTTATAGACCACAATTATATTTATATACATAGATATATATGTTTTTACATATACCTATGTAAATTTCAGCTTACAATGCGGATATCTGTGTGCATAAAATCATTTAGGCATTTCGTCTTCAAGGTTGAAAATATTGCTGATTTTGTTTGCCAATTTTTTGCGTTGTTGTTGTCTTGATTTTGTTTTTGTTTTTGACAGGCAGCAGACAGAATAGAATAGACCTTCGTCTGACTCGATATGAAAAATGATGATTCCTCTACAATATTTAAGCAATTATTTTGTCCTTGAGTTCGATTGTCAGAGTCAGGGCTGTCAATAATGAACGTGTGCACAAAATCATTTTTTATAAAATATTTGTTAAACATTTTGAAATATATTTAAGGTATAATGTATTTTCAGGTTTGGTAGCTCTGCATTTGAAGTTATGTTTTAGCTCTGTTAGCGTTACTAACTGTTATTGGCAGTTGAAGTTCGAATACATTTAAACAGTTTAAAGACTGTTATATCTACAGTCTGGCAACTCTAACAGTTTATGTGTATTGAAAGTAAATTCAAAAAGTCTTTAACTTCCATATAAACTATGAATTAAAAAAAAAAATAGGAAAAAAATTGGTTTTGATCTTTACTGTTTGTGTATATATTTTATAGAACTTTTAGAATTCGCTTTTTTACTTAGCGTCTTTCTGTATTTATCTATAGCTATATATATAGCCTTCTTTTTATTTGTTTCCTATATTGAAATATATATTCATGAAATGCATTTCGTATAGATAGGGCACATCTGTAAAGGTATTTGGCATGGAATTTAGCACAAAGTATAGAAATAAAAATTTGGCACAATTTGAATGCAGCGGAAAATCTGACCATATGCTTCATTACACACACACACATTAGAGCATTAATGCAATTGTAGGTGTTTGCTTTCAAGTTGCTCACATTTTCCTGCTGTATTATTAAGTTTTTATGTATATATATGTATGTTTAATATATATCTAGAGTTTTGCAAGCAGGCGTTTAAATTTAAGTAAAAAAAAATAAAATAAATCAAAATAAAAATAAATAAATAAAAAAAAGTTTATATTAATATATAATGTATATATTAATATATACGAGAAATTGAATTTGATTGCCATTTTCATTGCATTTGGTTTGCCTTTGAATTTTTACATACATACAATAAAAATATATTAATATAAAAAAAAAAAATAATAATAATAATAAAAACAAATAGATTCATTTTTCAAATTAAAAAATATTCAACAAAATATATAAACTCTACAAATATTTAAAATGTTGCCCAAACTTGTGTCCATTAATTTATAGCAAAAAGCCATAAATGGTATTTAGTCACGCATGCCCAAACCCAGTGCCTCATATAACCACATATGTATATGAATATAAATATATATATAATACATATGTGCACCTATGTCGAGCCCAATTATCACAGTTAAAAACTGAGAACTTTGCGTTGCCATGACATAAGCGCGACCTTGACTCGATTCGAATCGAATTTGCATTTTCGCTTTAAATTGAGTGCAGTGCAGGTAATGTTTGTATGACTCACCTTTGGCACTCCTTGTCCTTATCATTGTCATTATCATTGAATACCGATTTCGATATGCTGTTAATGTCGTCCACAATGCTTCGCAATTTCTTTTGAGTATCTGCTGGCAGGCTTCCCGTCAAATTGGGAACCGTAATTAACTCTTGCATGTTTACGAGTCCGTTGCCCGATCGGACGCCACAAGATATAAAAATTCCACAAATTCCAGAACGAACGTATACAAAAATGGAACTATTTCGTATCTTGTGAATTTGTTTTTGTAGCAGCGTAAACACAAATTTCTTTTATAAATATATCTATATATTACATATGTGTGTGCAAGTTTATATGATTTTTTATAGCGCTCGCCTCAGTTGTATTTTCTTTGACGACGAACAAAAGTCGACTGACTCATTGGGCGCTAAACACGAAACAGACAATTCGAAATATTTTCAGTTGTTGTCGTGGTGGATTTGTCGGTGCGTAAGGTGTATTTAAGTGTACACGAATTTCTACCTGTAGATATATATAATATATAAATATACATTCCTCTGCTGCACCTTACGTTTCAATTCAATTTTTATTTTTCATTATATAAATTGTTAGAATTATATGGCATAACTCTTAAATTGTTAATTTAAAAAAAGAAAAACACTTAATATTTCTAAACACTCAAACAATAAATTTTTAAAATTTGATTATTAGTTTTTAGTATTTAGAATATACAGCCAAATACTTTAAAATTTAAACGGTTATTTTCCACTTTTGTTATTTGTTAACCATCAAGCATTTTTTTATTATTAATCAAAACATATATTAAAATTTATTGAGTTCAATTTAACATTAAATACAATTTAAAAATGAAACGTCTACTTCCTACAAATTTTTTAGCGCCCACTGTTAATAACAGTTGAGCAAATGTTAGATTGCTTAAATTGCTTTTAACGTCGCTGTTAACGCAAGCAAAACAGCTGTTCAATGTTCGTGTACAGCCACAAGAAATTGTGAACGAGATAGAGAATATTGCTCGGTAAGAAGAAGACCAAAGCGCGAGTTTCTTGTGCATGAGAGAAATAGCAGCAGACGCCAACAAGAGGCCGCAAACAAAACTATTAATTTGTACAAATTTTATTTGATCAGAATCTTTACTTCATAATTAGAATGGGTAAGGAGAAAGCGGGCAAAACATTTAACATCGGCGATTTGGTGTTCGCAAAAGTGAAGGGCTATCCAGCATGGCCAGCAAAAATAACAAAGTACCACAACAAAAAGTATAATGTTTACTTTTATGGTACCGGAGAGACCGCTAATATAAAAGTTGAAGATCTATTCACATATGTGGATAATAAGGAGAAGTTCGCTAATCCCAAGAATATGAAACGTGCAAAATTTAGCGATGCCATCGATCAAATTGAGAGCGCATTGCGAGGCGAGGACTCGGCGCCAATCGATTTGCCAAGCAGCGGCAACGATGATGGCAATGACAGCACCATGGAGTCGGTGCTAGATGTAACAACCGAATCTGTTGCCAGCACTACTACAGTGGATTCTGTGGCAGCTACGGATAGCACCGAGGCAACGCAGCCAGTGCAGCCGAAAGCGCGTGGAGCGGCTGGAGGCGCGACAGCTGGTCGCAAGGCGAAGGCGGCACCAAAGCACGTGGATGGCGATACAGAGGATGGTAGCACCGATACATTGGAGACGCCGCCGCCGACAAAGAGACGTGCTCCACCAGAAAGCATTTCCGGCAAAAAGTCCGTAAAGAAATCGAAGCCAATGGCTGCGGTGACGCCCATGCAGAAGCGTGCGCGGCACTCAAATGTGAGTAACAGCCGTATGCGTATAAATCGTACTTAAATATATATATCAAATTGATTTACTCCCTTGCAGGTCATACAGAATAATCTGCTTATGGTGTATATGCCTACGGCGAAATGTTTGGGCATCAATATGAACTACAATAAGCCCGCCAGCTTTGAGAGTCCGGCTGCGGAACAGGCCTGGTTGGAGAAGTCACGCAAAGAGGCCATTGAGTTGAAATTGAAACTGGAGTCGGGACAAATCGATGCGGAATCAATGCCGGAACGTATTATCATTGAGCCAGTACGCAATGAAATACCCAAACAGGAGGCAGTGCGTTTCATCGAGGAGCTCATCGAGCAGGAGGATGCGTTGTTTATGGAACGTGATTTTATACAATTGTCGCAGCAGCTGCGCGAATGCCTGGGACTACGGCGCGCCAATGTGGGCCGATGCCTGGAGATCTTGGAGCAGTTGAAGGACATTGAATTGAATAAATTGATGTTGCTGCGAAATCCGGAATGTGTAGACATAATGCGCCGGTTACGTCGCTATGTGGGTAACTTGGAACTATGGAAAATGGATATATCGGATGAGCTGGAGTTCAAAGAGAAGGCGCAAATCATACGTAAAGTCTCGACAGGCATATACGATGGCTTTAAGGCGGTTTTCAATCCTGACAGCGAGCCGGAGGAGAACTTTTGGGTAGACTTTTGCGAAAAAGTTAAGATCTACAAGAACTATACGAAAAACATCAACGATAATCTGCGCGTCTCGATGAGCGAGAGTAGCTATCAGAATTTGGTCAAGAGTAAGGAGCAGGAGGAGGCCTCTTCCACGGATTTGGTCGAAAACTGAGAGCATCACCAGATCCCAGCTAATAACAACTTAAGGTACATCACAATAATAGAATTGTCTTAATTATTTAATTTAAATATTTTCAACCCATTTGTTTTTCAGTTAACTTTAAGTATAACAAAAATTCAATTCACACCTAAGCGTACAGCTGAATGTGAGGCACCGATTACTAAACCCTTCTTAGAGCCATTGAAATTGACATTTGAATCAATTAAACTGGTTGCAATTAGCTTTTTTTTTTTTTATTATTTTAATTATAATTACATCATCGGGCGCTATCCTATAACAGTATGAACWACCACGTTTGAGAGAGCTGCATCAGCAATCCGTAAACAAATACACATTCGCACACATACACATTCGCACACATGCACACACACATGCCTACACACGCACACACAGACACTATAAATACAATTGCATAGATTATTATGTTTAAATACACAATTATGAAAATATGTGTATAAATAAATAAACACTTGACGATATCTAAAGCAAATGCTGTGTCTTGTCTGCGCGAAGTGATTGATGGATTGACGATGGATGAGCTGAAACAGAGGCAGAGATTGAGCAGGGAGGCATATAATCGGAACAACAAATATATACATATGATTAACTAGATAATAGTGAGTTTATAAATACAATTATTTTCTTGATTGATTGATTGATTGGAGATCGAGCAGAGATAAGATGTGTATATATGACAAAAATTGTATTCAAAATTTTCTAATTGATTTAATGTTTGTTGAAAGATATAAAAGCATTATCATAGCAATACTATATGTTCTTTATCAGAAGGTACAGTTTGTGGGATATACATATTCGCATATGCATCAAACTGGGGATAAACCTATATTAACTAAGGAATATAGAATATAGATATGGAATATTAATTGATGGCTACCAATTGTTTTAGAATTATACAGATAATCATTTAAGCATTCGCCGATCGCACTTCAGTCCCAAAAGATTTCCCCAAATCAATTTAAGAATATTTAACTAAAAGCCCAAGTTTCTTAAACTGTCCCAATTTAGATTTATCCAGTAAAATGTACATTAAATAAAATATTTTCGAAAGTAAAGCTAGTATATTTGGTAATATTATTTAACATTAGATGTATATACATTTGAGTAAAGCTCATTGGTACACGATTATTGCCGTCGAAACGCTGATATTCGCGCCGCTTTGACTTTTGCTCCGTGATGTTAGATCTGCGTTTCGTCTGACATCGCCGACCTGCTTCACGTTCGGTCGTTTATAATGTGCGCTGTATGTTAGTTCTGGCCAACTTCTGGCCGATTTCTTTTCTTCGGTATTTAGCCTCAGCCTCAGCCTTTGGCCTACTTTGCCTCGTTTGAGCCATACGCCTGGCACATCTCTAGCTCAGCTGCTTCTCGGACAGCTTTAATGTGGCCAACATGCGTTGCTTCATGCGCTTTATGCGTTGCTTCATTTTGGTTGTGATCGGAAAAAGTGGGTTAGCCTCATCTTTAGCTTGAGCTCTGCTCCGACTAAAGTGCTTCTCGTCGTCCGTCAGCGAGGCTTGTTTACTGCGGCGCACCTCCGCGCAATCTTCAATAATAATTTCTGGCTCGATGATACTAGTAAAATCATATTCTATGCTATTATCTGTTTCCGGTTTCAGTGCTAAAGGGTCAGCGTTCTGCCTAGCCGAATCGCTGTCCATTCGTTAGCAATTGGATTTTTATTATTGTTTACATAGCGCGAAAAGTGCGCATATAGCGCAGCTGCGAGCTGAAACGAATGAAATTGGTATTTAGCAGTCTGCTTAAATTTCTGTTAATGACTGTCAATGTAAATAGAAACTGTTAAGCGAAAAATTTGTAGATATGTATGTATATTTCATAGTCACTTGATAAAGCTCTATATATTAAATTATATATCATATTTATTAAATACGTATCCTTCACAAAAAATGTTAACTTGTTCAGAGTCCTTACATTTAACAAAAATGTTCGTCATAGCTTAGCTTCTGCTTCATAAATGCATACCAAAAAATCATTTATTAAGCACTATCAATCTTTCTCCTTAACATCTCCAATTCCCTCGGGTAATATGGCAAACATGGCCTCCGATTCAGGCAAACAGGGCGAATCATAGATCTTGCAGATGCGCGTATCGCCCTTGCCCTTGCGCAGATATAGACGCGTCGTCGACGCATGCGCCATGATATGACCACCAATTGGTTTCTTTGCATCGGCCACAAACATTGATGCCCCGCCATCCACTTGAGCTGTCACTTGATTCGTTATGACGACCGCAACGCCAAATTCATCGGCCAAGCGCTGCAGCATGCGCAAAAATAAACCCAAATGATTTTGACGTGCAGCCAATTCTCCGCGTCCAATATACTCGGAGCGATATAGCGCCATTGCACTGTCCACGATGATAAGGGCGTATCTAAAAAGGAGATATGAATATATATATAATAAATATTTAAAGCTAAAGATTTTACCTCGATTCAAACATCATGCCTGCTGCCATTTGAACCAGTTGCGTCTGCTGATCCGTATTGTGAGCCCGTGCACAGGCCACATTATCCAAGACAGCTGCCTCATCCATATTGTATCGCTGCGCAATTGCCGACAAGCGTTCCGGCCGGAATGTGCCTTCGGTATCGATGTACAAGGCTTTGCCTTCGCCCCCGTTCTGGCTGATAGGCAGCTGACAGGTTACGGCTAGCGTATGACAAATCTGGGTCTTGCCACAACGAAATTCACCAAAGATTTCCGTAATAGAGCCCGTCTCAATGCCACCGCCAAGCAGTTTATCCAGCTCTTTGGAGCCCGTTGTGAGCATCACAACTTCGGAACGCATTTGATGAAAGGTGCGTGCGCTGGTAAAGCTTAAAGGTATAAGTTTTGACGCCTCCTTCATAATGTGATCCACCTTGGATTCGCCCAGACCTTTGATATTTAGCAGCTGACGACGTGTCGCATATGTCACCGATTCCACTGTATGCAAACTGGCCTGCTGTAGTAGTTTAATATCTCTGGGATTGATATTGCTGCCCTGCAAAATTAGAGTCGAATACATGTATATATATGACGACTATATTAAACAATTTATTCGCTTGCCTGCAGCTTAAGCACGTCCAGTGGTCCTCCATCATCCTCTTCTTCATCCGAAACATCGGCTGTGGTGGCTGAGGCTAGGTCTGCCTGCTTCTGTGCCGTGCGTTGCTTTTGCTCCATTTCTATTAGTTTTTTGTTGTACAAATAAACAGTATATCAATCTGTCTTTTGCTTCAATAAATGACTTTCAAAATTGTATAATGTTTGCTGCCAGATTCATAAAATATACGCGCGCTTAGTTGTGAAATGTTATAAACATTTTTTGCCATTCACAAAACCGACGCAATCATCAGCTGTTTGCTTTTAAATGAAATCAAGAGTGTTGAAAAAGAAGAATAAGGGAACGTTGAGATAGAAACAAGCAGCCTTAATGAAAGCACTTACATAAATAAAAAAAAAGAGCATTTATAATTCATTCGACAGCATTTCGATCAATTAAAAGTGGAACAGTAGCGGAAGATCTTCTGTTAAAGGTATATTAAATAGAAGTATGATTGGATATCATTACTTCGATGTGCGACTGTAAGTTGAATGCGGCAAATCAAAGTGAATTGTCACAGTTAACAGCACACGTGCATGTGTTGGTTGCACCAGTGTTACTTAACGCAACATTTTTTTTTTTATTTTATTTTTTTTTTTTTTTAGGAAATTTCGGGATTTTGATAAGGTTGAGCTTACGCCAATTTATTTTCGGGGCTGCGTTTTGAACTCATTGGAGAAATTCTTTGGCGAAATTGGCGGCAAGACTAGTTTGGATATTGTGAAATTTAGCGTAGAACAGCGACGAGTTGTTTTCCGCGTGCCCGAGGAGTTCTATAAGCGCATCCATACTGTAATTACATTGATTGGGCATTACCAGGAAGTACCGTGTCATTTTCAAGTTCTGAAAACTTCTAAGACTCCGTTGGACTTCGAAAAGTATTTTATTGGAGAAGATAAAGGTGAAGAAACGTAACGAGACAATAGTAAAGCATGGCGTTCTCGTATTGTAAAGTCTTCGGCAAAGATAAGGTGATCTTTGCCACCAAAGAGGATCATTCAACGCCCAGTACTGTTGAGTTGCCAGCACCAGAACCGCCTCAGGGTCTCATCACAAAGGATGGCAACATTAATTGGAGCTGCCCATGCCTGGGTGGCATGGCTACCGGACCATGCGGTGTTGACTTTCGAGAAGCTTTCTCCTGTTTTCATTATAGCGAAGCGGAACCGAAAGGTTCCGATTGCTATGAGGCCTTCCGTAAGATGCAGGATTGTTTCCAGCAATACCCCACTGTTTATAATAAGGCCAATGGTGGAGATGATGACGACGATGCTCTTGGTGATGTTATGAGTTCCGATAGTAGCACCAATATCAAAGATGTCGACGAATTAACTGGAGGAGCTGGCGCTGCGGCAGCCGCAACAGCAACTGATACACACACAACAACCACAAATGCCGTGTCCAAAGTGGAATAAAATAAATCAATAAAATAGTTAAACATAAAAATTACATACAATAGATAAATTGTTTAGTTTCATATTTTTTTTTACAATTACTTCCGTTAAATAACATTCTATCAGCTGTTAATTTTTTGTTTTGCTCTATAACAGCTGATTTGGTCCTTCGGGGAGCCGAGTTTAAAGTAAACCTTTGTGTTTATTTTGACCATAGACAAATTAAATCTTAAAGGAATTCATTAAGTTTAACTTTTGTATAATAATACAGCAACTATTTCCAAATATTGTAATTATTTATCACTTTTTAACATTATTAACTTTGTGTGAAATATGTTAACATAAAGTATTTTTCTGGTATTTTCGAAAATTGTTAACAAAAACATATGCGACATGGGTACTTCTGGTAATTTTTGTCATTTAGTTATCGACAGGCCACCACAAGTAATCGGCCGACCACCATAAGAAAAATAAGAAAACTTATGAAAACCGTGACGAAAATGTTGTTAAACGTATTGGTAAAATGCTTAATGTGCTAATAAATCTCAGATATGAAACGTTAAAACGTGAATTTAATATCAAATCTGTGCAAAATTTCAAAGTGCAATAGCTATTACGATTGCTGTGCAATTTGTTTAAACTACAGGGCAACAAAATAAATCAAAACAAGTAAATAACCTTGTGTCTTGCAGTTCGAGCGCGCACCTAATCAGTAACAAAATAGAAAGTCAAATAACCAACAGCCGCCAGTGAAGTGAGTGTTGTGCATATTGCTTTCGAATAAATATCTATATATCATCAGCTATAAGTTATAGCATCCCAAATTTCACAATAGTGTATTTTGTTAAAGTCATTTACAGTGCATTAAAAAGTTTCGTGCTGCACAGTGACACAAATACATACGCGACACACACACAAGCGCACACATACAATAAAATATTCGTATATACGCAGTTACGTATTGGTGTGCATACGAAAGACGTGCGGAGAGGAATTCGAAAATATACAAAGTACTTCCATTTCAATAGTTTTTTTTTTTTTTAATTTATAAAGAATATAACGAAGAGTCTCAACTTTAAAAATTCAATTAACAGGAAAGGCAACAACAAAAATAACAAAATCAGTGATTTGCAATACTAATAATAAATAAAAAAATAGTAATACTATAAGAAGTTAACAGCGAACCGTAGATTTGAATATTTGAATGCTGCTTAGGCTTCAACATTGTGTAGAAAATGGTCTCGTTAATTGATACAATCGATGCGGCAGCGGAGGCTCAAAAGCGACGGAGCGCCGTTGCCGCTGCTACAGCAACGTCGACTGTCAGCGCTGGAGCCAAGTCACCGACCGCTGCTGCTGCTGCTGGCGGTGTTGTTGCTTCAGCAGCAGCAGGTATTGCCTTGACCGCAAGCGGCAAGCCTAAGGAGAAACGAAGGTGAGTTATGGTCACCCCAATAGACTAATTTTGTCTCTCACCCCTCACTAACAGACATCCAAATAAATAATCTAAGCTCCTGCCATGTGATCTGTCTGTCTGATGGGCTGTTGCCTATTGCATAAGCAATTTGCTTTCTTTTTTCTTCAGCTGCTGCTGCTGCTGCCGTTTGCTGCGTTGTCGTTAGCGTCAGCGTCAGCGTCGCTGTGTTGCTATCGACGCTGTTGCTTCAATGACGTTAGCTGCGGATATGTTCAATAGGGTTGAGGGATCTAACTGTTCACAGTATTTGCACACCCTAATGCGCACCCTTTCTGAATATTTAGCATTAGATTGATGGAATCTGTTTAGGGTTCATATTGCTGTAACAATAAGATTGTAATACTGTAAGACCTTCTAGAATTATCGTACCGGCTCGAAATGTTTTTCATAGATGTACATACAAGTATTATTAATTTTTTCAAGTGTACTATATATTTATAGTGAAAGCTTTTCGGATATGTTATATGAATAAATGAAGATCATCTCTTTATAATTCACACGTTTTCTTTAATTATTGATACTATGTGTAAATAGGTACATATATAAGAAAACCAGTAGGCATGACTTTGGACTCTGAAGTACTCAACTTAGAGATATCCTATATTCCTTGCTGACCTACCGTTTCTTTTCTTTTTTTCCTGTGGAAATTGATTTTTTTTGTTCGATCTTAATGAACCTACGAGTATGAATGAATCACAAAAATGTGCAAAATTTATTGGGATATACATATATGGGAAGTACCCAACAAATGTTTCAATGCAGTTGAGCTGAATATACATATTTCTATAAAACAAAATGAATGAGTCCAGCTCTAAAATAACTAAAGCTCTATTTCATTTGTAATTCATTTTGGAGGAATCTGCAAAAAGTATCTTAGCTTTGAAAAATATATCAAATATATATATATGAAATAAGAGCTTTGAGATAAAAGAGCTGTTATTTCGTAGATATTTTGCTGTAGTGCTTATGCGTATGTGCAATGTATATAGGAAATAAATCATGTTCTAAGTGTGGAAGCATTTAAATATATATAATAATCAGATATAAATGCGCAAATCGCATGTGCCTTACTAAGACATACCTATAAAGAAATGGAATGTTTTTTAATAATAAGTTCATACGTTTGGTAGACCGAAATATGGGTTTTGAGGGTTTTGTAGTTGAGCCAAGATCGGGTTAAATACATTTCCAAGTGTATATGTAAATATGTATGTATTCTTAAATAAGAGCGCATTCTACTACATATATGATACAAGACTTCCAACAACCTGCTGCACATTTTATTTCGAAAAAATGCTCTTCAGCTGCGATAATCACTCACACATGTGTGCATAATATGTATATTTATATAATACTTGAATATTTGGCATGTGTTGATGATTCAGTATATATATTCATATTCATATATAGCCAATAGATTGACAAGAGGGTGGAGGCTAGATTTCCTATACATGTAAGAAATCTAATTCGTAATCATTAATCACGCTTGACTTTTGGATTTGCGATAATTATACAACTTGAGCGAAGGTAGACAGTAAAAGAGAACGCGTTGACTGAGACCTTACCTTGAATGTCACAACAAATAAACCCCAGATGCAAATAAAAGAAATACTTAAAACCCCAAAGCAAACCCCGAAAAATACAAAAAAATAACAAAACGAAAATTGCCAAATTATATTTAGTAGTCCATTTACTGTGGATTGATTTTCTAAAGTGTTATTCTTCTTCTTTCGACAAGTTTCTTTCGTTTGATACGGATATTGTAGCAATAACCTTCAGCAAAATTATATTCTGATTCATGGTTATCAAAATTTCATCAAATATTGATAAACATTATTCGAGCTTTGCAAGTAACGAATCATCCAGCCTTCAAATTAAATCTTATCTTTATAAAATCAGGTTTATTTAATTATCCTTGATTGGTTGCGATGCGACCTGCCCATTTCTGGGCATTTCTGTTTATTCTATATTTAGACAGATTTTTTTTGCAGCCTGATTGCACTTTGGATTTCCTCTTTTCAGCTGGGGCTACGCATTCTTTTTGCGTGTGGTTTATTTTTAAAAATTAAACAAAAGAAGCAGCCGCAGCATAGAAGAAGAAAGAAAAACCTGTTGTTGTCAGCAGCAACGTAAGCGGGTAACCAGTTTTGTTATTGTTTTGTTGTTGTCAGTTTTGTTTTATCAGTTTGTTTTGGTTTTGTTTTGCTTGTCACTTTTGATACCCTGCAATTGTAGGCGTATGGAAAACACGTAGATACTCTGGATTTACGATAGTTTTACTAAACTCTCCTACGTAAAGGAAACTTGGGCTATTCAAATATCATAAACTTTTTTCCATAGATTGCAGTTGATATGTGAAACTCGCATAGAAAGGCCCGGCTGTTTGAGTTTTGGCGTAGGGTTAACCCGTACATCAGGTACTGAGTATCTACCGTTCGATATTTCAACTTGTTGCTTTGTTTTGTTTTTATTTTGAAGTTTATTTTTGTTTGTCTGCCCTCTTTCGGCATCTTCTTGAGGCGTGTTAGCGACCTGCCCCTCAAGTAACGGCCACGCATTTACTTAAATCATTTACATTGTACGAAGCGCATAAAATGTAAAATTTATCGCATTTTTTTTTTTAAATATTTCATTTTAAATAATATTATAGTATGCAAGATTTGCATTAAATTGAAATATTTGGTTTTGGCCTACGTGACTTCAGTTAGCTGCAAAGCGGTTCTGTAACAGTTCGAAGCAGCGAGGAAAACCAAACCAAATGCTTAAACGACAGGCAGCCCGTTTTCCATGCTAAACTAGTTTCTGGCATTGATTAAGTTTGTATTCAATTCGTTTAATGTTCAGTTATCAATTGGTAGCTGATTTAGATAACTCTGAATGGACGCTAAATGGAGATGGAAAAGAAGATCACGTGAAGCATAGGCACGCGCTCTACTAACTGCGCAGTTGACGCAGCGCCTGCGTCTGGGCTGCAATATGGGCTAAACAAGATATTGTTGAACATATTTTCTTGACGGAATTTTGTAGTAAAATTTTCGGAAGAGGATAATGATAGTCATATGTGTATATTATCTAATCCGCTAGTCTGTAATATTAATGGAAATATTTAAAAACAATTTGTATCACATTCTTAATCGGTAATAATGTATAGTGCTTGGACAACGGCAAAGAACAAAAAATCAGTTTTGAAACCTTCTCATACGGACGGAGAGAAGAATCAGAGTAAATCGACTCACTCTGATTAGGAATATGTATTAAAAAAAATGTTTGTTAATTATTTTGAAAGTGTTTGCAAATATATTTAAATACTATGATAACAATTATTTTAATACATTTCAATTAAAAATATATCTACAAATTTTAACTGCCTGCTGTGCTGTCTGGTGATTCCGAATAATTTCGTATACAGTATATTTATAGATTTATATTCATTATCATGCCGCTCACGCTGTCATCACTAGTCACGACCTTGTTGTGCACTTGTCTGTTTGCACGATTTGATTTACTTCACTTTGCTAGACATCTTAGCCTCGATTAAAATTATATAAAAATGAAAAACAATTATTTAATAATAAAAATGCTTGCTTAGTCGACATGGATTTATTTTATACAGATTATGGGAATTACACACAATTAAAAAATACTAACAATAATGTTGAAAAATATACTAAAAAATATATTATTAAAGTACAATTGTTTATCAATTGAAAAATTTAATTGCATTTCTTTTTAATTGTCACAATTGAGTTTAATTGACGCTTTTACTGTGACGTCTTGCTGAGAAAAGGTCGAGCAACTGTAAAATTTATATTATATATTTAACTTCATTCAGTATGAGATAAATAATAAATGAATACAAATTCACTATGTATATATGTTTCAAAAGTAATACAAAATAAACATTTAAAAATAGCTTTTTAAAATATTTTGAATGAATAAAACTGGGAGTATATGTTTTTTAAATAAAAATACTAGCTTGTTTATAATAAATACAGTTTGCATATATATATTCTTTGCACGCATCATATACCCAGTGTTACCCTCTGATATTGCTTTTTTCTTACTGATATCGAAATTGTGGAAAACAATATATAGAAATAGAAACTTTTGTGTATTTCAATAGCAATGCAAGGCAAACGCATAAAATTAACACAAGCTTGCGAGCACAATATGTTAAATATTTAAATGATATGCTTTATTGTTGTTGTTCAGGCTGATATTGTTGCTGTTGCTGTTTCTCTTGTTTCTTTGCTGTTGTTTATGTGTTGTTGTTGGTGGCCGCGGCAGCCTCTGTCTGGCCACGGCGACCTACTTTTTTGCGCAATCGAACTAAACTGTGACGACATTAACGCCAGGGGGCAACGGGCAAACGGGGTGTGTGTGCGTGTGTGTGTGTGTGGAAGTGTGATTGTGTTGTGCATGTGCGTGTATATATATGAGTATCTGCGCATGCATTCGTTTTGCATGGTGTGTGTGTGAGTTTGTGTGCCTGCACACCATATGCGTATGTTTTGTTGTATTTTTTTTATTCATATAAAATACATATAGTTGTTGCTGTTGATGCTGCTACTGCTGCTGTTGTTGTTGTTGCTGCTGTTGTTGTTGTCGTCGTCTTAAGGCCCGCCTGAGCCAAACAACTAATACACCGCTGTTGCTATGCAGCGGCCACTAACTGCAGCAGCTTCATACGATTTTTCTTTCTCACTGAAACCATTGGAAATATTTGAGCAGGGCATATTATTATTACTGAGTCATATGCAACGGGCAAAAGGAAATGCTGCGCTTTGTACGACTTGTTGATCTCATTGAACTTGAAATATATTAGAAAATTCATTTATAATATACCATTAAGATTATTCGATTAAAAACTAAACTAATAATGTAAATAAAGTACACTGGAGCTCAAACCATTCGGTTAATTTATGGTTATTTTTAGATTTAAAAATGTATAGCTTTGGGGCTTAAAAAAAAAGAAATTGTTTAGATCTATATTTAACATGAGTTATTTATTTGTATTTTGAGAGTCTTCACAGCTAGAAATAGATTCTATAGAATATAAAAATATTTACTTTTTGGATAAAAGTCGACTATTTGAGAAATTTCAAGAAAATATTTTGATATCATGTTATTCCTAGGCTCATTTCGTTGCCATATTCAATTGCTAAATAAATAAGAATTACCATATTTTAAACGGCTGTTAGGCATGTCGTTTGTGTGGGTATTTCCTAGTCGAGCAGACTTATTGCTCTATCTATATTTCTTGTCTCTGCCAGATGTATCGGAATGTGTTGCTGCTCTTTGTTTTGGTTTTTTGGGCTGCCGATTTATTTTTACAATATGTAATAATTTTTATTTATTTTTTGTTTTTCATTTTTTTTATTTCTTTTTTGTGATAAAACTGTTGCCTTATTTTAGTTTGATATTGTGGCAGGGAAAGTAAATTTATTGAGCTTTTGGGCTTGTCAGGCGCACGTATTTAATATACAAGAAATATGTTCATAATTCTTTCGAGTTGCGCAAAAGCGTAGCTCGCTTGCAAATATAAATGGTTGTTGTTGTCGTGGTTGTTGTCGTTGTTTCTGTATGTATTCCTATATACGCGTACATGCATCGCCTGTTGATAGCACTTAATAACATGCGATCTTACTGAGCGAGCCATATGTGACCTCATTCGATAAAAAAGCCGAAAGATCGCCAACTCATGTAAGCTTCAGCTGTGGCGAGATTATGTTTAATATTAACTGATTGACACATCAGGAATCTTAATGTTTAATCAGTTCTTTTGTTGGTGCAATCTAGAAAATAAAGCTAAATAATTAATTATATTAGGTAGCTTATTGAATTATTAACGCACTTTTTTAAACCTTTGTAAAGAGAGTAAATAGAGTAAATCTGTCTACCATATCTACTACTTTTGAATTGTGCTTGTTTATATGGATTTGAAGTTAATAAATTTATAGAAATGCTATCAGTTTATCAACAAATTAAATTGTTTTCGCTTCTTGTGCTAGTTTCTGAATAGGTTCTTCGGTTTCCATTGTCATATACCGTATTCTTCGTCATATTCCGTATTTGGTATTCTGTACGCAATTTCCCCATATTCCCCATAAACTAGATTCCATGAATTCATAATTTGGTGTAATCTATATTCTGTTTTCTATATTCTATTTTGAATATATCTTTTTCTATTTTCTAAAATTCATATTCCATTTTCTATATTTCATAGTCTTCATTGCTTATTCGATATTCCATTTTTATACCCTGAACCCATTGAAAATGGGAAATCAGGGTATAATGGTTTTGTTAAAAGTATGTAACAGGCAGAAGGAGGCGTGGCAGACCCCACAAAGTATATATATTCTTGATCAGGGCGACGAGCTGAGTTGATTTGGCCCTGTCCGTCTGTCTGTCCGTCCGTCCGTCCGTCCGTCCGTCCGTCCGTCCGTCCGTCCGTCCGTATGTATGAACGCGTCGATTTCAGAAGATATAAGAGCTAGAGACTTCAAATTTTTTTTAAAATGTCCGTAATTACAGCGCGCATATCAAGTTTATCATTAAAAATCGATAACTCATCCCGATCTTTTTTTATCGATAAAAAACCTTATCGAAAANTCGTATGTCTACAAAAGAAATTATTTAACAAATAAATTCTCATAATATTGCCCACACTGCAGCGCAGCCCAAGCGCCGTCGCTGCTTACTGCGCAGTTAGCAGAGCGCAGGCTTATGCGTGCATGTGGATGCATGTGTATGTATGTGTGCATAAAAGAAGTGCAGAATGATTAGAATATCAGCTTGGAGGGTTCAGGGTATCTCCTAGTCGAGCAGTCTCGACTGGAGCTTTCTTACTTGTTATACTTCGTATACCAATTTCTATATTTCATATTCCATTTATATTATTCCCTTTTTTTATTTTCTGTTTTCCTATTCCGTGTTGTAAGAATGTTTCCATTAGTATTCTGTACATTTATTTTTTAACTTTTTCCAATTTTTCCACTTTCGGTGTGTTTTGTAATTCCTATTATTGTCTCGATTACTTTGTACAATTTTTTATAATTGACCTAAATATCCGCCTATAATAAGACGTACTGTCTTACGGCATAGACTAGACGTAGATATAGACCAGCTACTCGGTAATTGTACCCGCTTCTATCAGAGTTGGCGGTTATTCACCACTCGTCAGTCAGTAATCGGCTTGTCGAGCGGATCACATCTAAAGGTACATTTACCGTTACTTAATTGCTACCGAGTGCGTTTTTTACGGCTCGGCTCTTATCACGTTTCACTTTCAGCCAAAAACAATGCAAATATTTGACAATATTATGTTTTATTATGTTATCAGAGCTGGCAACAGTGGCTGACATAAACGATGAGTCGGATTTGGCGTAACTATAGTTAACAGCCCTTTTTCTCGTTTTTTGTCTATCTGATTTGTAAACGTATAGCTTTATTTAATTTATTCTGCTAGCAATTAAGAACAACGCAATGACTGACTGCATAATACACGCTCAAATATTCTAATTGCCTTAAAGATAAGTTTAACTGTTGAGGAGATTGAAAGTAAATTCTGTGACATAAACTTTTCCGATTCCTAAAAGTCTTCGATATATAAACTTAAACGAAATGGTCATTTAGAAAGAGCAATAGAACAATATGAGTACATCACAAAACCTATATACTCCGTTTACTTCGTGAACGAGTATACAGAAACTTTGCTGCAGTTTGGCTGCGTATGCAAATATTTTGACAGAACAGAGTCCTTCATAGATAAGTAAAGCGAATAATCGTAATGAAATGGAGAGGCTGAAGAGAACGAGAGAGTGAGTGCGGGAGTGAGCGGGAAAGCTGTAGAAAGAGAGATATATAGACAGATAGAGATAGACATATAGATAGTAAAAGGTTCACAGCGCTGTAGAGTATGCAATGCTTTTAGCCAAGTTAATTAAGGGCACGAATATAATTCATATGTGTCTAATTTTAATTTGTTTTATTATTTTTTGTAATCTTTGCTTGTGTGTGTGTTATTTTTTTTTTTCATTTGTTTATAGCCAGTTTGGCCTTATCTTTGGTCAATTCACACATGAATAATTGGCCTGGCTGGAAGCAGGCAGCGTGTATCTTGTTGTTTTGGCCATTATCTTATCAAACAGCTAATGCCATCTCACTCGCTCACTATCTATGTCTCTTTCCGTCCGCCAGCTATCTGTTGTGTTGATAACGAGTGATAACTGATGTTAATGTCTAGCATTTAGTCGTGCGCTTTTGTTTCAACTTTTCTGAAGTTCACCGAAAGCGTTTCACTCTAACCAATTGCGGTGTTGTTGTGTGGGATTTTCAGGACATACACTTGAAGAAAAAGTGTAGCGCGTAGAGTTGACTAAAATACAACATAAATTCATAAAATTTGAATGAATTTTTGTATCTTATAAGGGGGAAAACACTCGAAGTAACCATTAAAATATTTTTTTTTTTTTAAATTTCAATACACTTTGATTTTTTGTTAGAATTTTTTAAAGTGAAAACTTATTTACCTTGTTCATTTGTCATAGTCTCTATGCTATTTCTTGCAGTGTACACTTATACATATACATATATGTCACTGCGTTTGTGTGGGTGCCTTTGCTATCAGTTTTGATATTGCGATTTGCGCGGCCAACTCCTATAAATATGAATTTCATGCTATTAGAATTTTCTGTTCATTTTTAATGGGCGTTACAAACGGTTCTTTGAGTTCGGTAATTGTATTCGATCGTACTGCAATCGGTATCTCTGTGCGCTAGTGTGACATGGCTTAGGCCATCTTCTGATTGAAACTAATAATGTTTAACTCGTGCAACTCGTGGGAAACCTGTGATTTTCCCTGCACTGAAAATACTTTTTATGGCGACGATGTCAATTGTTTTTACGAGCCAGACATTAAACCACAACAACAGCAGCCACAAAATTCGCTTGATGGCCTAATTTACGGCCGTAGGCTCATCAATGAGCCCACCGTGAATTTCAATAATGGTGGCTTCTATAACACCCAAGCAGCAGCAGCACCACCGCCAATGGTTGCCTACGGCCAATGTGGTGCTGGCTTGTACAACGACTGTTCGAGCCTGGAAATGAGTTCACCTTGCTCTGCGACGCGTTTTCATCCCTACCAGCGGCAGACCTCCGATTTTGGGTCGTTTCCGCCGGGCTATGGCCAACAGTCGAGCATGCCCTATGCCCGGCCAGGTTTGCCGTTGCTCAACCTTCCCGTGCCCTGTCGCGGCAATCAGCCGTGGGGCTATGAGCATTGCTATGGCTATGGTCCGAGTCAGCCGGAGCCATGTCAATTTACGCAGTTTGTGGATATCGAGGACTTTATGTAAGTAGAGCAAGTGGAGCACCTAACCATACCTTGTTCTCTAAGGTTGACTTGCTTAATTTTATCAAAATATAAAATATATAAAATGAGACATAACAGGCTTTAATCCAAATACACGCATGTCTCTTTATAAGCCCAACAAGTCTGAGAATTTTTATGCTACGCCAAGTGGAGAATTAACTGCACTTAAAAATATATGCACTTGTATTTCTTGGCTCTTCATGTATATCTCTATATATAAGCCTATCTAACTGTCAGCTAGGGTCTAGACTTCATAGCGAAATGCTAAGCATTGGTCGCTTATCACGCACACACACACACACACACACGAACAGCTAAGTAACTTGAGTGGGCGCACATCTTATCTCACTGAATTATTGTATACATATAAAGACATATGAATGCGCATATTTATGTGCCTACACAAACATATGAATACCCTGTATTAGGTGCAACTGGCTGTGGGTATTTATACGCTAAGCTCTTTGAAAATGAGGAATGATAAAAATGTATGTGGTAGACAAAGAAGTATGTGAGTCTTCCCCATAAAATATATACTATTGAAGAGCACGTAATGATGCAATGTAGCCTAGTCGTATTCCAGGAGATGCAAAAGTCAATTTAAGAAGCTAGAGAATTTGAGGTCGACCCTAATGTATGTTCCAATAATTACTAAGTTTTCTATTATATTTCTGTTGAAATTTTCAAACGAATGTGCCAAATATATGCTTATTATTTCATATAACTCCAGGGAATCTCATATTCGCACATTCCCAACTGGATATTTTTGACTTACTTAAAGCAAAGACAAATGAAAATAATTTTTTTTTATTGCCATTTTATTTTCACTTAAAGAAATTGATAAATGATACTTAAAATATATATGCTTATCTTTAGATCTTGGAAGAGCATGTGAGCAGCACTATAAGAAAAAAAGTAAATAAAGTTGGAGCATAGTATGTTTAGGTATTCAAATGCCTAATATATTCTGAAAGACACCAAAATGTTTGAATGATAAAGACAGAAGTCATTCACGAATAGTCACGAAGTCAATAAATGGGAATAGATAGGTTTCTAGTATAAATATATGAGTATTAATTAAATGATTATATATAATTTCCTAAAGTTTTTATTATCTCTTCAATTCATTATCAATGCAAATCAGTTTAATCGATTTGTTTGTATTGAATTTTTGGATTTCTTGGAAATTATGCAAACATATTTGTGAAATTAATTTGTGAAATTAAAGAGGCTTCTAGCAAGTGATAAAATATATATCAAATATTTTAGTTAATTATCTAAACAGAATAAATGGAAATCAAAGCCCTTTTTTATCGCTCGTCGATAAGAATTATAATCCGTAATAAAAAAACTTGCAAGAAAAAACGAAACGAGGCGTAACAAATTGTGTGGTAGCAAATTAGATAGTTGCCTCCAAATAAATTGATATATAAACATATATTGATGGCTTTTGAAATGATTGTATGATTATTATGTAGCGCATGACTGGGAAATACCCCTTACAAGAGTTAAATAATTATTTCTAATAGATTCTGTTAATCTAATCGAGAATGCTCGACTAAGAGATCTCTCGAAGTTTTCATAGAGCTTATTTTTGATAATTATTCGGTGTTTTTCTGCAGGCCACGCCTCCTTCTGTATGGCTTAAGGAAATTTATCGTTAAAAATATATTTGAAGTTCTTGATATTTTTTTCTGATCTATAGATGTCGTTTGTTCTGTTTGTTCGTCACACATTCACTATAAAAGTTTTCAATGTAAATCAATTAAATTTTTTCAAAATATATTTTTTTTTTATAACAGAAAGAAAATGAAAGCATCATTAATTCTTTTGCGATTGACGTAGTTGCTCACAATTCTCATTTCACATGCCAGAAGCGTGTGAGTCTTTCATATCTAACAGACACACACACACACACACATATATGCATACCTCGATCTGTGCGTGTGTGTGTGTATGTTTGTAGTTGAGCCTCTCTCATTTGCGCGTGCTTCGCACAGAATTTGTTTACGTTTGGCAAACCGCAAACGAGCCGCACGTTTAGCCATATTATTTGCTTATCTATTGCAATATCCCCAAGCTCCATTAATGTACGTATATATAGGTATATACATATAGGTATATGTATATGTATGCGTATATATATTTGTTTATAAGCTTGGGCTAAAAGCTGAGCTCAAATACGATTTATTATTATACTACATATTTGATTGTTATTTGAATTGTTGATTGTAAGTTTTATAAATATATGTATATATATATTGAAGCACATCTTCTTAGACATATTTTAACAGTATTATATACATAATGAAATTTGCAGTTTTTACACATTTAGATGTTTCTCGATGTTGACATGTTTCTAGAAAACAAATTAAATAAAATTTATTTAATTAAAATTATTTAAATCAATGTATTATTCGATGTGCATTTAAATTAAATTCAGCTAAATAAATACAATTAAGAATATATTCTATTCAATTTTCTTATCAGATAAGCTCTATTAAAAGCTTTCAACTATTTAAGATGCCGTTGATGGAACTGATTTACGGGCATATGCAAATGAAGTTGCT